TAGGGATAGTTGTTGGCGTCTAATATACAGAGGGGGTTCTCTCGCTAAAACTTGTAAGCTACGAGCTAAATATTGCCACGCTAAGACTTATTATTTTTTATTAAATACAAATTTATTTGAAATAACCTGTAAATTTATTAAACAAGTAACAAATATGTTTATAGTCTAATTTCTAAACAATTATAAAAATAAAAAAAATCAAAAAAGTAGTCTATTCTTCTTTTTTTTTAACAATTGCCCACTTGCAATTTTTGGAACCTATACCCTTAATATTGCCACAGTACTGGCAATAAAAGGAACAGGTATTTTGTTAATAGAAATAAGTAATAATATTGAACCTTAACATTTAAAAAACTAATGTGAGACATTTACTATTTTTGAGAACAATTGGGGCATATGAATGTATCCTTATCATGTTTAGTAAAACCCACACACTCTTCATGTACGTATTGGCCACATGCAAGACATAATCTTTTATCAGCCTGGCGGTCTTCATTACATACATGACAGAACCATGATTCACGACTTTTTAAATTCTCGTTTATTTTCTTTTCTTTATTTTCTTTGTTCAGATTGTCTTGTTCTTTTTGATGTTTGTTTATTTTCTTTTCTTCCTGTTCTTTGTTATTGTTTTTGATTTTTCTTGTTGTTTGGAAGGTTCTTTGTTGATTTGGCTGGTTTTTCTATCGCTGTGAAAAATAAATCTTTCGTAACTTCTTAAGCTTTGCTATTCATTGCTGGTTTTCACTTTGTAGTAGTTATCTTGATTAGGGGCGAAATTAGTAAGCACATACCTTTAAAAGAAGTGTCTGACTTGGAACCGTTTTCATCAACTCTAGTAGTTGATGGCTTATTTACGTTGTTATAGCCGACGTCTAGTGATTCACTAATAACACATTTTCTTCAATATGCGTTATAAGACGGTACAAATGCTGATCCAGGTATGATGTTTGGGTTAAAAGGAAATATGTTTGAACCAGTGTGGGCATGTTTTAATCAAACTTTACTAAATATTTCACCAAATCGAATTTTGGTTATCAACAAGGTTGAGATTATCAAAAAATGTAAAACCTCCTGATCCCAAAAAGACTCATAACTTTTGAAAACTGCTTTATCCATAGGCTGCAGTTCATGCGTGTGACTTGAAAGACAAAATAAAGTAACACCAGAATTTTCTGCAGCTTTAACAATACTCATGTCCAGATGCGATTTTGCACCATCGAATATCAGGAGTGTGATGATCATTCCATTCAGGCTTCAATCTCTTCCCTTTACCCAACCACAATACTAACGTAACTAACGTACTAATGTAACTACGTCACATTCCCAAACTAAAGTTTGTCGGAGTCTATGAAGTTTCACGCTAGTCTACTGTACCGCCTACTGTAACATTTCTTTTTTTTTAGACAACATCACCTATATATTCTTTCAAACCTTAAAATGAAGGCCTTCTACTTCTTGACTCTTCTCTTCGTTCTTGCTATCAGCACTGAATATGTTCTAGGCGACTGCTTGTCTGGAAAATTCCACGGACCATGTAATGCATGGGATAATGAACTTTGCCGTAGATTATGCAGCGAAGAAGGACGAAGGACCGGGCATTGCAGCAGTCCAGGTCTTAAATGTTGGTGTGAAGGATGTTAATTAAGATCTGCATATTCCAGTTTTGTACAACAATAAATAACTACAGCAGTTATACCAATTTTTTATTTATAATAAAATTGATAGATAAACACTTCACAGTTTATCTTATTAAATCAATAATCTATTGTGTATATCTTAGACAAGGAATGGACCGCAGGAGTGTGACGTCACGACTGTCACATTGACATTATTACTTTCCAAACAAAAGTTGAAATGTCAAATCTCAAGACTTTGTAATTTCTATAAAGTTAACATTGTGCTTCCTCTGCTGCTTTTTCTTGCAAGCATAGTGTTTTTTACGATAATACCATCATAATTCATAGTTCTATTTCTATGAAATATAGTTTAAAAGTTTAAATAAAGAAATTGTAACCTTTGTAAATTGTAACTTTATGGATACATGCATTTTATTGCTATTGGCATAAAACAATGTGCTTTATTATTTACACAACCTTGTAAAATTGTTGTAGTAACTATCAGAATACTTAAATATTGCAATAAGCGGAAAGATTCTATAAAATAAATGAAAAAATAACGAAAAATACAAATTATCCACACTAAACAGGTTTGTTTGGAAAGTGAAACTGACGTATGTCAGTCAAATCTACGTCATCACTCCTGTGGTCCATTGTCTAAGATGTACACGGTGTCCAGTGACCTTGTTTTGTATTTAAAAAAATCGTCGATTATGTCATGACACCAATACTGATGACGTAATGACAACACAAGAAGTTGAAAATATTGTTTTTTTTGTCGTTGTTTGAATGTAAATAAGAAAAACATTATTTCCAACTTCTTATGGGACAAATGCACACGAATTAAAAATGTTTGAAAAGGTTTTATAAGCCCCCATTGCGACGTCATACATAGTTGATGGATATTCAAAAATTATAATTGATACGTTTTAAGATGTTTTAAAAGTTTTCTGTTTCTCAAATAATGAATTGATTTCATATATTTCCATCATACTGTATATGAAAGTATAGCCTTTTCTCCCAAATATTGTTTTAATACCGTTTGGAGTACAATTCTTCAATCCTTACGTATAAGTGTATAGGTTAGTCGATGTAATGAAGCACAAAAATCGGCGCAGAAAGAAGGATCGAGATGCAGTTTGGCGCATTTGATTCGTGAGAGCGTCAGGAAATTTTGTGAGCTAATGCGATCATAAAGAAATGAAAAATTACATTTGGAAAATATTCGATGTTTGCTGAGTAAATTTGCAACTCTAGAAAATGAGTTTTCCAAATTTTATAACACCTTATTTAGTTTATATAATAATTAAATTTGCTATCAACTGATATTTATTTATATTTAATTATTAATTTAATGTCTCGTCTGAATTTGACAGGTCTGTCAGAAGTAAAAAACGTATGCTTTGTTAATACGTTACCAGGTGGCGTTAGGAACAAACATATTAATTTATTAAATTATCTTAATATCATATAACTTGTTTAAAATATATATAATAAAATTAGTTTTTTAAATATTTGAATTTTAAAAATGCAAGAAACATAAATTTCACGCTAGTCTACTGTAAAATCTTTTTTTTAGAAAACATCACCTATTATTCTTTCAACCCCTAAAATGAAGGCCTTCTACTTCTTGACTCTTCTCTTCGTTCTTGCTATCAGCACTGAATATGTTCTAGGCGACTGCTTGTCTGGAAAATTCCACGGACCATGCAATGCATGGGATCGTGAACTTTGCCGTAGATTATGCAGCGAAGAAGGACGTCAGACCGGCCATTGCAGTAGTCCAGGTCTTCAATGTTGGTGCGAAGGGTGTTAATTAAAATCTGTATATTCCCTTTTGTACAATAATAAATACTACAGCAGCTATATCAATTTTTTATTTATATTAAAATAGAACAATTAATAATAATATTTCATTGCGTTTAATACATTTATTTAAACATACTTTTTAACAAAGTCTCCAAGAATCAACATTCCAAAACCCATCTTCTAAATCTGACCAGTAATGACAACTGACAACGAGTCTCCATACATTGTGCCTAGAGCCCCGTGACCGTAATCATACCCTAATGATATGACACACTTCACAATGTATTATATTAAATCAATAATCTGCTATATAAATGCTATAGCTAGTATGTTGAACACACAAGACAACCCAGAAGAAATGTGGAAAGGTATCAGAAATGCAATAGAAACCTCTGTAGAAAGAATCAGGACATGGTTCATATCTTACATATCTTTGTAGGTCATCTTCATTTTCGGCTGTTATGATGGCGCCGTCGGCGTAGCATATTATCCTTATTTCCTTTTCTTCCATTCTATATCCTCTTCTTTTTTTAACTTTCTTTATGATTTCATCCATTACCAGATTAAATATTAATGGGCTCAGCGAATCTGCCTGCCTAATGTCAGTTTCATATTTGATATATTGCGATAGTTTTCCTTTAAATCTTACCATAGCTATGTTATCTTTATATATATTCTTAATGGTTTTTATTAAATCCAGTGATATTCCCTTTTCATATAATAAATGTATCGCGTCCCGAATTCTCGCTCTATCAAACGCTTTCTTCAAATCTATCAGACACATATATACTGGTTTGTTGTATTCCATCGATTTGTCTTATTACAAAAACTGCATCCGTGCATGATCTTCCTATCCGAAATCCTTGCTGTTCCTCTTGCAGAGATATTCGTTCGTTTATTTTTGTCGCTATTATTCTTGTTGTCAATTTGAGTATTGTATTTAAAAGATTTATTGCTCGATAATTATTGGGGTATTTCTTATCTCCTTTTTTGAAGAACACCACTATGATCGCTCTCCTCCATTCATCTGGTATTCTGTTCATGGTGATTATTTTATTAATAAGAAGTTGCAGTTCTTGTACAAGGTAATCACCTTCATATTTTAAGAGTTCATTTGGTATTTGATCTTCTCCTGGTGACTTTCTGTTTTTTAATTTGTTTATTCCTTCTTACACATCGTTTTGGGAGATTTCGGTCTTTTCCTCAGTTATTATATTTGGCGTTTCTGGTAAAGGTTCTTCGTTTTGTTTTTTAAACACTTCTGTCAGGAAGGCCACCCATGTATCCTCTTGTATGTGTTCTATTTGAACTAGTTCTTTCATTTCGCTTCTTTCGTTTCTATGACGCCATACTTGTTTCTGTTGTCCATAGAAATCCACCTCTAGTCCTTATGATTTTCCAGATCTGTTTTTGTTTCCTTACCAATTGTTGAGTTTCAGTTCTTATTCTTTTATATTCTTTATATGATTCATTCGTTTTTTCTGACTTATGTTTTAGGAAAGCTTTCTTTTTCAATTAGTTGGTGTAAAGTCGATAAAAAGGGAATAAATGGTAGCAAATAATATCAAAATAGCTTTTCTAACGTTTATTATACAATATATTATAAATTACACTCTTTCATTATAACCTACTATTACCTGAGCTGCTGATTTATTCATCTATTGTCGTCATCCCCAAAGTTAAAAGCTTTCCTTATACGATCAACCTTACTTTCACTGTTAGAAGTACTTTTCCCCGTGAACGGTCTCCGCTCTACCTCCTTCCTCTCTGTACTAGGCTTCTCGGGAGCGATGTACCCTTGGGGTTTCAGATTCTTCGCTTTGTTCTTCACGAACTCATCGTAGATTTCTTCTGGGCTCCTGCCCTTTACCACGGCGATGACGTGATGGCGGGCAATTCGCAACATCTTCTCTGTGACGCCGATACAATCGGCCGTGGTCATTAGGAAAAGTTTTCTCGTCAATCTACCCAGATTCGAGGCGAAAACTTTGAATTGTGGGTGTGTAGGCAGGACGTTCTGGGATCGAAGGGCTTCGTAGATCGCTAATTGGAGTTTCTATAAAATAAAAGTTCAAATATTAGCGTTTAGCGAATGGAATAAATGAAAAATATACTGAATAATAATAAACTATAATAAATATACTAATAAACCGAAAAGAGTTTACTCTTTTCTCTAAAACTCTAAGATACGAAATTTATAAACGCTCTATAAACGTTAAAAGAAGTCAAACACAAATTATAGCATGTTGAAAATTCCTCAAAACTATCTTATATTCAAGAATAAGAAATTTTCTAGTAGTACGTCACTGGCGGAGTCTAAATATTCTCCATTTCCCTGTTTATTAGTGAGGTAAAGAAAAGAATTCCAAATTCCAGTTATTAACTAAGACAAAAATATGGTTTTAGTTATTTGTAAATGTTAACTTCTATTTTAAAAGCTGAAAGTGATTCAAGGTTGTTTTGCGATATAGTTTTGAAGATGTTTGACGATATTTAGGGTTCGCTTACAAATCCAAACCTTGTTCTACCTGTTCCCTATTTGGTGTGTTCTTGTGTATTAGTTAATGAGAAAAAAATTGTTTTATTTCATATCACGAAGTTTAATATTTTGTTATATGATACAATTATAAACCAATCAAATACATATGCCGATACCTAAAGTTTGTTGACATTTTCGGCCAAAGATACTTGGAAGTACCGTGAAAAACGAAGAAGAAATAGAGAAATTTTGAAATTAAAGATATTTTTATGTAAAGGATGAAATATAAATCAATTTCTATGATATTATTTTTATATTCTCTAAATAAATTAGGGGTTTTGTTTTCTAGGGGGTATGTACTTTAAAGTACCGCTGGCTGTCAAAGGGTTAAGAGCATTTTACTTACCAGTACAGAATCGATATGGGTTATATTAAATTCAACAGAAAAAAAATACAATTCATGCAAAACAGATCTACTTAAGAAACACTAGTTTTAATAATTACTTTGTTTCTCAGTATAACTATAATTTTATTACTGTTTTAAACGATTTATATTTCTTAGTGTAGTAAGTAGTACAACTGTCATTCTCCCTCCGATATTTCTGTCCAATGAACATCAAAGGCACAGTATATCGCTAAAGAATTCTCTAACAATATTCGCGAGGAACCGCAAAGTGGGTCGATTCGCCTGGTGGTAGATTTCAAAAGCATCCACTTCGGGAAAACTTTGAAATTGTCATTAATTTGTATACATATTAGCAACCGGTTTATATTGTAATTAACAATGACTTCGACTTCAAAAAACTATTGCAGTGTTCCTCAATGTTCATCCTATTATAATTCATAAAAAAATTCCATACATAAGTTTCCGTGGACGAGAATATGAGAAATGTTTGACAATGCATTTTGCGAATTGGCAAACCTATAACCAAGTATATGACTGTGTGCAGTTTACATTTTACTGAGAACGATTACTTTCCAAGTGTTGATTAAAATATTATTTATATTTTAATATATTCATACTTAATTTACTTTATAGTAACTCCTGAAACTAAATTGACTAAAGATCTCTGCCGATCTTGCAACCATATAAATAATTAAGATAATATAAATTTTACTTCCCGTTTTACAGACATACTGTAGACAAACAACACTTAATTTTATTTTTATTCAGGTTTGGGAGTTAATTACCTTATGTATAAACTCGAATCACAAACAAATAAACTTTGAAGAACGTACTCCAACTTTTGCTTTGGCAAAACACACGTGTAAATGATTTATATTAAACGTTTTATAGCTTAAAGCATGATACTAAGACAAGAAGATAAGATATTGCGCATAAGTCGTGACGTCATTGGAGAGTTTGACGTTCGAAATGTCAGTTTTGTATGTATCAATAAATAATCTTTAATAAATAGTTTGGATATATCATTATGTGTACGATTATTGTAATTATTAAATCTCTTAACTTATTTTCGTCTAGTAATTTCATCACAGAATGCATACAAATCCCATTTAACTTTAACAAGAATTCAAATTCTACTCTCCAATGACGGCATGCGCGAACGCTTCCTATTTTGTGCTACGGGAAGATCCTATCTTGTTATTCATAGTATCATGGCTTAAAGATCAAATGACAAAATGATTTGTTTTCCCGAAGTTATCGTCCATCTTTGAAATCTTCAGCGCCCCCTGTCGGAATTGGCTATCGCGAATAATGTCAAAGGTACCGACAAATCTTGGGTGGTGTATGGTGTGGTATAAGTAAAAAATACTGAGACAATTCCGAATGTTTCAAAAATATAAAAACGTTAATAAAACGTTGTCTGACTCACCTTCTTATGATTAGTAGTTAATTCCTTAATCTGTCTACTCTGAGATATGTTCAAATCACTCTTAGTACGGGTGCTTAACATTTTAACATCTGCTAAAGTTGACAAAGGCATATTTTCAGAATGACATCTGGCGAATTTGGACGGCAGCTCGTCGATGGAATCGTCGCGCTTCCTCTTCTTTTCGTGGCCAAAATCGAGGCGTTTAATCGGTGAACGTTTGAATCCCATATTTTTCAGGGGGGAACTTTTACTAGGGGACATGAAAAGTGCCCGTTTCGTGGTGGATCTTTTGATTTCGTTGGCTAACGATGATCCGGATGTACCTGTAAGAAAATATAATATGACAATAATATACAGGGTGCGGCAGATAAACGCCCAATTAGAAATACCTAGAGAACTAAACGTAACTGAATCATGAAAATTAGAATGAAGGGGTTATGAAGAGTGATTTAATGAAAATATTTTCGTTCATTTGCTACTTCCGGTTTATACACGGCGGACAAAAAAATTATGGCCACATTAATGAACCAATGTTATAGTAGGTGGCGCCACCTAGTGTCAATGGTAAAACTAATATTATTCTCATATTAAACATACTAAATAATAGCAAGATACCAATTTAACTTAAATCGGTTGAATAGTTTTCAATATAAGCCTAAAAATAATATAAAAAAATATTAATGAATCACCCTGCAGAAGGAAAACTAGTAACATTTTACCAAGCAATTTGAGCTCAATCACTTTATTTTGATGTCAGCTATCCCCCAATAGTTAATGTACAATTAATTATGGGACACTCGAAAAACTAAGCGGCTATATGTAAAACTAAAAAGACAAGCCTCCTATTAAGAGCGTAGGCGCAAAATTTCGGGCCAATGCTTTTTAAATGCATTCATTTTTTTCGAATCCTGAGAAAACTAATAAATATTTTTAAAAAATTTAAACGCAGAATGAAAGAATACATTATTACCGAGGGTCGAAAGTCCCTGAAAACTTCTATAATGTTTATTTTAACAAGTTACAGGGGTGAAAATAAAAAGAGAAAATTTGGTGTGATTTTTAATTTCAAATATCTCATTCAAAGAAAACTTTTTGTTTATTCTAAGGGACTTTCGGCCCTCGGTAATAATGTAATCTTTCATCTCTGAGTTTAAATTTTTCAAAAAATATTTGTTAGTTTTCTCAGGATTCGAAAAAAATTAATGCATTTAAAAAGCATTGGCCCAAAATTTTGCGCCTACGCTCTTAAAGAATCTCACGCTTAAAGTAATTATAAAATAATATACTCACTAGGTAACAACCTGGTCAATAACTTCTTATCTTCATCTGGACTATGAAAAAGCGTTCGTTTTGCACATAGAGACCCGTCTGAAGAAGTTTTAGAACTCGACTTTTCAATTTCTCCGGTAACTTTCCTGAAACGCATGGCGAGCTTCTTTTTAGCTGAACTGCTCGGAGTACGAGTTTTGATCCTGGGACTTTTTCCGGGAGTCTTTCTAGGAGTTTTTCTCGGCGATTTCCTTGGACTTTTTCTTCTGCTCAGCAAATCCATTTTCCTGGAAAAATTATACAAGAGGCGTATTTTAAGTTTTTAGAAAAGGTAAAAAAGAGAGAAACAACATATCCCCATTTAGGATCTATAAGTATGTTAGTCAAATCTAAAGCAAGTAACTTAAATAGAGCTGGACAAAATAATAATTTGTAGATGGTAATTTTGGAATGTTATAATGTTTATAACAAATTATAAAAATAAAGCAGTTTGGTGTAGCAATTATCTGAATTTGGATAAACTAAAATACAGCAACAGAATCGTCAACATCCTCAAAAAATTATTTTGGTACATTTGTTTACTTACTTAGCATCAACCAAAATTTGTCGAGCCCTAGATCCGGCCAAAAACGAATTTCCTGACTGCAGGTTAGCGCTGGAAAAGGTGATTTTCCTCCTGGCCAAGTGGCTCAGTCGTTTTCCTGGAGATTTGGTGTTCCATTGCGGTTTGATATTTCGTCGTTTCATCGGACTGGTTACGTGAGTTTCGAAAACTGTACATGAGGATTGCGTTTCAGCGCCAACGTATCTTGAGCCGTATCTTCCGCAAAGGTCTTCGATCTTTTCGGAAAATCTGCTTCGATTGTGGCTGTAAAAAGAGATATCGGTGCAAAAGCTTTATAACGTATACCAAATAAAATAAAAATTATTACAACAAGAGACAGAAAAGAAAATAAATTGATAATTCTAATGTAAAGTGTTCACAAACAGTATTTCTTTTAAAGACCTTTATGACATTATTTTTGCTTACAACTACTACCACAATTATATCTAACAATGACTCAGCCCTCGTATTCATCTTTAATACTCTGTATACATAAAAATATACATATTTTTGACATGGTTGCAATTTTATCTAATACAAATACAAATATATATAATAAGCTTGTTTAAACATCGTTATTTCTTTATTCATAGTAGAGCTTTATTTTGAATATACCAATATTGACAAAACAATCTTTTTATTATTATCTATCGAAAGTATTTATTTACATAACATGTTAAACAAAACGCTATCTTTCAAAAAGACGATATAACCCAGTGTAGCAATGAAAAAATGACGATTTCACGGGAAAATTTATTACAGGTATCTAATAGTTTTAAGTCATAGGGGTGAAAAATATGTAGAAGTAAAATTGTAAAATTTAATTCAAAAATGTAGTTTTTTATCTGTAGCAATTTTTGATTACATTAGGAGTAAGTTTTACACTGCGTGTCACAAAAAAGAGGCCACCTATAATTTTTAAATACCTTTAAGTTTATACAATTTATTCTATTGTAACTAAATTCCCACAATGCAGAAACACTTTTAGCATCTTTTAGGCACCGACAAACATATTAAGTATGTTATGACAAACGGTGCCAACAGGTCAATTAAGGGTAATAAGTTTGCAGAATTGGTATCAGTTTTACATCTTCAGATAATGCATGTGTTGTTTGTACCTTATTTTTCTTGGAATGTGGCTATTCTGTTTTTCAAAAACCTTTTACTAGTGTACAGTTAGTTGTTCAAAGAGTAAACTTGTGCAATTTTTAAATTAAAAACTATGGCTGAGAAATTTGCTAGATCTGTTCTAATTGTTACTTTGATTGGTAATGGAATGAGTCAAAGAGAAGTGGCCAGACAGCTTGGAGTCAGTCGTTGTATGGTATAAAAAATTTACCAACGATTCGTAGAGACTGGTTCTTAACAACGCACTTCTTTGCAAAATCGGTTCTTTCCGGCTAGATCAATCAAAAACCATTTTCAAAATGCTCACGTGTCGACTTTAAGCACTTCTACCGTGAGAAGAAGGTTGAGGGAATTTGGTCTAAGGGCTGGCTGTCCAGCAAGCCGTACTGATCTCGTATTTATTGATAGAGGAGTGTTGAATGTACACCGATACATTACTGAAATTCTAGACAAGCATGTAATGCCTTTTGCTGGGTTTGTTGGCGAAAACTTTATTTTTATGCAAGACGACGCATGGTCACATGTAGCCAAGATGGTAATGTAATATCTGGAAACTGTCGGTGTGCCAAAAATGAACTGACCTGGCTCAAAGTCCAGATTTGAACCCGATTAAACATGCTTGGGACCAACTCAAATGAAGGGTAAGAAACAGAATACCTACTCCAATAAATCATGAGCAGCTTCAGTTGGCGCCCATGGAAGAAAATGTAAGTTGTTTTTCACAAACAATACGAAACATCCAAAACGTTAATTGAATAATTAAATTACCACTTTAAATATGTAGAACACAATTTTTATTGTATAAATACACAATAATTAATAATATTTTTCATTATATTTAGATATAGATACCTAATATTAGGCTTATGACAAAAGTAGACAGAATGAGTCTGTTGCGAGTAGCATGCACCAACAAAACTGTATCTGCAGCGTCCTTGTGGACTATCACAGGTTGTGTTCCTCTGCATGTGTTAGCAGTAGAAAAAAGACATCTCTATGAGAGAAGAGAGCATTTGACAACAGCTATAAAAAAAGAAGAAAGGGAAAGATTAATGGAAAGATGGCAAGAAGAGTGGAATAACAAGGAAGATGTTGCCCAGTGGACCAAGATGCTGATCCTGAGCCTAAGGGACTGCACAGATTGTCTGTTTTAGAACTAGTGCTAAGAAGTGCTAGAACATCAAGACAGGAAAGGAAGACCAAGGAATCTGTAAGAAATAACATGAATGCTACAGAAACTGTAATTTACTGAATAGAAAGAAAAGGTTCAAAATGGTTTGGACACATTGAGAATGCCTGACGAACGTTGGCCTCAAAAATTTCACAAATGGAAGCCTTCTGGAAGAAGAAAAAGAGGTAAACCTCGACATTCATGGAATGAAGGAATTCATTCCATGATGTATTTCCAAAATGTATTGTATTTACAAGTTGGATTAATGTCAAACGTCAATAAACTTATTTTAACCTTTAATTGTGTTTTATTCTCATTAAAATAGTAATAACTTTAAAATGCCACAAAAAAATAGCTTCAGAACAATTAGATAAGAGAAGGGAGTGTTCCAAAAATGCCGTCAGCCTTACAGCAGCCACCACACTTTCTGAGTATGGTACATATGTTTGGCACTGCTATCTTTAATACATTAAATTAAACTAAAACCCAAATTTTAGGGACTCAAAATGGAGGTAGCATAAAGAAATTTCAAAACCCCCCCTCAGACAAATTCTGGATGCGCCACTGCAATGTATAAAACAGTAAAATGCATTAAAGAAAGAAAAAAGGGATGTGACACTCCAGGAGTGGCCGAGAAGGGGAAACATAGATTTCTTATTGTCTATGCATGGAGGGATGGTTTTTATATATAAGACATATAAGACTTTATATTTTTTCACACTACTGTGTGATCCATTGCACTGATCCATGCATTTAACCCATAGCAAGTGACAAAAAGCTGTGCTTCCAAAAACTTACAGAAGATTGTTAATAAATATTACATATATTTGGAGTGGTGCTGTTCAATATAAATAAATAAATACTCACTGCAATCCCAAACATCTATCCATTAAAACATCAGGAAATTCTCTTGTCTTGGCTTCTTCCTCAGAGCATGTGATAAGCAATGAATGTGACTGCCTGCCCGTTTTTGATGCCGCTGCAGTAGAATTGTTCCAAAAATACTTCTTATTCATTTTTAGTCTTTCTAACATATCAGCAATAGAAAACTGAGTAACTGTTACACTTCTTGGAGGCAAGACTCCCTTTAAGTTGTTTTGAGTTCTTCTTAACAGCATATAATCCTTTTTGACCACATTGCGCTCTTTTGGAGGGGACACAACAGGTTGACTAGGCTCTTGAGATTTCTGTTCAACTATATCTTCAGAAAACAAATCAGGACTGAGGCTTGAATTGATTGGATTTGTACTAGATTTATCTGGTGTTGAAGCTACTGATTGGATAGTACTGGTACTAAGTTTCCTCCAAGAGTATGGTTCTTTATATACAACAGGACTTTCTCTTATACTCCTAGAGCTGCTAGGGGTTTCATTCTTTGATATTTCTAGTGCCTCGTTGACCTTTTTGAAGATTAAATCTTTAATATCTGAATTGCCCACATCCTTTAGTGCATGTTCCAAAGTTTCAGTCACCACAGAAGTTATTAAATTTATTGAATCTTCAGTCATACTACCAGTATTTTCTAACAGTTCTTTATTTTCCTGCTTAGACCACTCATTGTTAGTATTATCACTTTCTTCTTTTGAACAATTAATGTTTTTCGAAGATATTGCTTTGTGTTGACTGTCAAAACCTACAAATTCTGTACTGCTATCACTACCTAGATCATTCTGAGGACTTTTTCTGCTTTTATCTAGAACACCAATATTTGTTATAACAATTGTTGGTTCACATTGTGTTTCTACAGGAATGGGTTGTCTAAGCTCAGCTACAGCCTGGTCAATTTGTTTACTAGATATAGATTCACATGTTGGTAAAGCCACATTCTCAGTCAAATTATCCCCAACATTATTTCCTTCTTCAATTATTCCACTTTTAACATTTCCTACCTGTTTCTCACTTTTACTTTCACTCATTGAATAGTCAAAGTAGACAGATTCACTTTCTGTAACATTATTAGTGGAAATATCCTGAGTAAAGTTACTTTCATCTTCCAAAATCACACTTAAACTTTCTTCCATATAACTTTCAGCTAGGTCATTACCTTGGGAGAAACTTTCACTTCTTACAGACTCTGATAACTCAGAACTTGATGTAATCGAGGTACTTTCGTTTATAGATTCATGTTCAGATTCAATTTTTGAATTGTTGTCAAATTTTCTTGGAGTTGGTAAAAGAAACGAGCCATTGCTGTCATTTATACTTTTATCTGGAGTCAAACTAGGATATTTTCTCTTAACACTAAAGAAGTTCTCTTTGCCTTCTTTTGAAAAGACTAAGGTTAATTTTTTCTTTTGCTCGCTTGATAAGGTATTAGTAATGTTATTAAATGCCACATTTTTTGTCTGCTGCATATCTCTTATTATTTCTCTTTTTATATCGTTAAGATCAGGTGAACTGTACATAGTTTTTGTGTTTTGAACACTAGCCTTATCTACAACTATTTTTTTACAAGCTGGAACTTCTACAGACATATTTGTTTGGTCTGTTTCGAACCCAGAATAACTTATATCCTGACTTGTAACCGAAGCAGATATTTCATTTGATGAGTTATTGAGAAAAGGAGAACTAAAAACATGTCTAGTTTCCTCAAAATCTTCCTTTTCAATTTCTAAACTAATATTGGCATACTTATGAACTTGTGGCGTCTCCAATAAAGCATCCTCACTCAAATATATCGGTCTGTTATTCATGTTATTTATTATTTTTTCATTAATATCTAATGAGGAGTCCAAATTTGATTCATGATTGTGAGAAATGTATCCACTATCATAGTCCATACTGAAATGTAAATTTCCGGATTTTGAAGTATCTTCACTACTTTTAACTGCACTAGATGAAAAATGTTCCATACTTAGTTGCAAAATATACACAAAAACTAATGGAATTGTTACATTCCTGTAAATAAACAACCCTTTAACACCATCTATAAAGCGCGAACAGCAACGGCGGAAAACTCCACTTGTTTTGGTTTAACTTCTAGTGACGTTGTCATGTGTCACAATCTAACTGACATATCTCATCTACGTTCCGAATTTCGCAAAACATGAGAATTATGAATAAAAATAAAAACTGTAAAGAACATAGCACACTCCGAGCTAGCAGTGCCAGTCCTATGTGAAGTGTAAAACGACGATTGGCGCATCATCTAGTGCCAGGGTGCGTAACTATATTTATATATAAATGGCGGTAAACTCAAAAAGAACGTAACATCAAGGTTAGTACATAGACAGGTTGTCTGGTAACTTTACACCAATCAGCGTCGAGAAACCAGCTTATTGTTGGTACTTTTAAAAATAAACTCCGAATTCTTAGCTTCGTCCAACTTTTACCCATCCACAAAAAATATTCTTTTGATTTTTTCGTTTTGGAGCAGGAACATGGTATCTTACCACCATGCGCAGGAACGAGACCACCAAACGGAAGGGTGCACAAATAAAAACGTTGTGGGGAAAAAGAATGGCTTGTCAAAGTCACATAGGTGTCAAGATAATAATGTCAACATGTATTTGAAATTCATTTAGGTTTATTTAAAGAATACATGACTACTACTGACTTATAGAAACTCTTTTTCAACATCAGAATTGTTAAAAAAAATTATTTTTGAAGTCTCTTACACAAGTGATGCTATACAATGAATCGCAAGATCAATAACCTTCAATCAACCTGAACATTGCATAATTCCAGACTTTTGGAGGGCAAAATTATATCTAGGACCCTTATTTAGAATAAATCAATTAAAGAGATATTGACCAAAATGGCTGGATTTGCTTTGAGAATAAAAACTAAATCAGGACAGCAAGTAGTAAACACATTAACTAGAGAAACCACTATTAAGGAACTGAAACAGATTCTTTCAACTTTATCCAACATACCTGTAAACAGATTGCAAGTGCTTTCAGGTTTTCCTCCTAAAATATTAGACCTTAATCAAGACAATGAAGCTATTGGAAGTAAAGGAATATCTTCAGGTGATAATAAATTTGTTATTATCGTGGTAGTGTACATTTAGATTATTAACTGAGTTTTAAATGTGAATTTTATGCAACAGGTAAAATATATTAAAACATCTTGAAAAGTATGTATAATGAGGTTTATCTGTTAACTTAACAATTATTTATATGAATGGGTATTTTTAGAGGTGAACCAATGTGAGACAAAATTGGGCAGTTTAGAGCTAGTATAGAATATTCCAGAAACTGTTAATTCAATTTGGGGATTGAATTAGCAGGGATCAACACTATTTCATGGGGATGTTGATTATTCCAAAGAAAAAAATATCTCATTGTTTACTGGAGTACAACTTCAATGACCTACATACTCCTTATTTGAGAAACATATAAAAAAACTGTACTTATAACAGCAAGAAATCTTTCAAGACAAGCAGAAATAAAAAAACAGTGTTTTACCTATATAGTGGAGACTAATCCAAACATGTGAGACTAAAAGTGAATATATAAATACAAATTGTAGAAAAGATAGTACCAACTATAAAGATGTGTTCCAAGGAAGTTAACATAAACAGTGAGAAAAAGAACAACTTGCAATAGTCAATATATTATCCATAATTATTAGCTGCTTTATTATTGTTCAGATTTTAATATCAAGTCATTTTTCAGGTGATACTCTAATATTAGAAGAAAAGGCAGTTCCTATTGTAGAGGAAACCCAAGATCAAGATGTAGCCATGTCAGAAAATGATGCAGAAATTCCATTCCACACACCTGATATCCTGTTAAAACATGTTGTGCCTTCAGATAACTCTTGCTTGTTCACAAGCTTTCAATTTGTACTAAATGGTAAAATTGACAAAAGTGGTACAGTCAATCCATATTTGAGGAAGCTGGTAGCAGAGTCTATACAGAATGATAAGGATAACTACAACGAAGCTGTACTTGGAAAGCCAGTAGAAGCCTATTGTGCCTGGATTCAGGATGAAAAATCTTGGGGTCAGTATTGTTTTTTAATAAAATCTTATATTTGTAATAAAACAATCATTTAAAAAAAAACATGGAATGTTGTGTGAATCAATCCTAGATCTTAAGAAGCATTTGTATTTGTAACTCATCATGTATTGGTATTGGTGCCTTGGATATCTGATGATGAATCACATCATAATATTAAGATGTCTGTCTCTGTGTTGTCAGAGAGCTTTTTGCACTTTCTGGACTGTATGTTAGCCTCGAAACTTCAGTAAAGGATCCATTTTTCCTATTGGATGATCTTTTTAAGGTACCTTCTCCATTATTGAAGGTTGGCAATAATTACAACAAATTGCCCTTTGTCTTGAGCTATTCTTAATAATGAATGGGTTTCCATATCTGTCTTTATTCTTTCTCAGTCACTATCCTTCTCAGCACCTCATTATTGGTCACATGTTCTGTCGCAAGAAATCTTCAGCACCCTTTAAAAAACTCACATCTTAATTTGTAATCTCTTAGTGTAATATATGTTTTTATTTTAGGTGGAGCAATAGAACTATCAATATTAGCCAACCACTATGGCATCGAAATAGCTGTAATCGACACCATTAATGCCATTATCAATAAGTTTGGAGAGGACAGGCAGTATCCTCTAAGAGTTTTTCTCCTATTCGATGGCATACATTATGATCCTATCTTTTTAGAACCATTAGATGTAAGTATGTGTTTGTAGGAGTAAAAAAGTGTGTTAATATTGTTACTGATAAAGGACTAGCTTTCTATTCTCTGTGTATCTGCAGTCATTACTAATTCTGGTTTTGTCTAGTTTTCTTATTAGACTATTGTGTCAGACAAATTTACTATATATATTAACTTTGGTATCATTATAAAGGAGCCTACAAGCCACAATATACTTCTTAGGTAGAGTGGAAGGTGGTTAGACAGCCACTTATATTGAACCAATATAAGGGAGACTGCAGTTGTGAAAATTTCTACATCTAATGCTCATCCATCCAATCTCATTTGTGTAAATCCTTCAGCCATAGATTTTTACTTGATTTCTTCAATTTTTTTTATTATCGTGCTAAAAATCTGTGTATATAAGAAGATAATAAAGTAATTTGGTATCTTTGGTCTTTAAAACTTCCAAAATCATTCATGTTCTTATTGCATGTTTTCCTCAGGTGTTTGCAACTTAACATTCTTGATGGTAAGACTCTTATTTTTTCCAATTTGCAGAAGAATCAGTACATTTGGTTTAAAGTTCTGTCTGTGGGCAAATATTAGGTGTATAGGCATCATTTGGGAAGTTTTTAATGACCATATTTCACATAATTCAGCCAGTTTATGATGTCATTTGTTTCTCCAAAATCATAATACTCTGATTTCTCCCCTACTAGAATTTTTGTAAAATAAATAAATTTATTTTTCTAGGGAGGTAAAATTCAAACCATCTTCATGACAGATGACGATAGACTGCTCAAACAGGCTGAGGAATTAGCCAGAGAAGCCAAATCCAGTAGGCAATTTACAGATGTGAACAAATTTACCTTGAAATGTATGATTTGCAACATAATGCTGACAGGACAAGTAGCAGCACAACAGCATGCACAGAGTACTGGTCATGCAAATTTCGGAGAAGTTTAATTTTTAGAAAAAATAATTTTAATTACGAAATAAGGAATATAAAACTTGGAATATAAAAAAGTGACCTATGTTAAGATTGTTTTTTTATTATAGTTAGGGTTTAAGTTAAAGTAAGATGTTTATTTGTACAAAAAACACTTCTCTCAAACATTTCTCTAAAAGTTCAAAATATCTGTATTTTTTGACTTTTTTGTTAACCTTGCCTTAACTTTTTATTTTCTGAAAATGAATTTTTATTTTTTTTGATACTTTCTTCTTTTTCTATAAAATCTTTGTGATATAAAGCAAACTATCAAATTTCTTTAAAATCTTGCACAACAAAAACTAGACCATATTGAAGTTTGCCAATTTTTTTAATTATAAAAAGCACTCTACCTATCTAACATACTTTATGGAATTGAAATCGGATTATTTGGGCAGCATTAGGAATTTTTTAAAATCTCAACAATGTTTTGCAAACAGCGTTGGAAAAGATTGGGCAAGAAGCTTTGTTTAGCTAAGAAAAAAGTTAAATTACAAGCGATATTTCCTGAGATACAACCGGTCACAGTGGACCGGCATTTGCGAGAAAGTTATAAACAATAGGATGGTAATCTTTGAACCATTTTTTCTTACGGAGCTCTTTTGTGATAATAATTTTTATATCTTCCAAGGATATTCATAACATATGAGTGGCTTTATATCAAAGACGGACATGTGTCATGCAAGAAAAGTTGAAATAAATTGGTTTTTTTTGTGCACAGCTGCTATTATTTTTTTTATAAAAATATCACTTCCTATAATTTTAGTGAAAGCTTCAAAAGTAATCTTGTGGACATTCTGATATAAGAAATATATGAAATTATTATAAAATTATTATTTGAAAATACAGATGTCCGCTTTTGGAATAAAAATGAGTAAATGTTCATGTTCCATGATCCAAATGTGATGGTAGGTGTCCGTTTTTGATGCCAAAAAAATTGTATTTGAAAGAGTGAATCCTCGGTTTGGACCTAACCTTAAAATTTAATGCTTATAACATTCATTTAGGAGATCAGGTATTTTAAATGAAGATTCCAATTTTAAAATCTTTTATTCAAGTTGCAGTAGTACCTAACTACAAAGCAATTTAAGAGTTTAGACTGTAGTCTGTAGCCAAAGAGGCTCTGAATATTCCCACAAGGTGCGGCAGAAGGATATCCAGTCCCCACTGTAGTAGGGCTGGATATATGCCGTCAGGCCCTGGTGATTTGAAATGAGTGAAGCACAATGTGGCCCATCTTACCTTTTCCTCATTAATCATTATTCTGGCGAGATGCCAGTCGTTCATTTGGTCCGGGGAAGTGTGTTTTCATCAGGATCTCAGCACTTTCGCAATGGTTGGAAGTTTTGCTTCCATCTTCCTTCGTTAATATGCCGATGTGGCTCCTTTGAGAGCGCTTTTTGTAGCCTGGAAGCCTGCGAGAAATCTTCGATTTCCTCACAGAATGTTCTCCAAGTAGCTCTTTGTCTGCAGACTTTCTTAAACTCTCATGAGGTTTGATTGATAAGAATCCCTATCCTCTTTGAGTTTGGTGCATTTTGCTCTATTAAAAGCTGTTTTTCGCACCACCAAGAGTTGGTTTTGGGACTTTCCTGGACCATCCTTATTGGAAAGCATAGCTTTTTTGTTTTGGATAGATACCGTAGACCTTTCCAAGTCTGTATTAGTTCCTGAAGTTAAAGCCTTTTCATTCCGCATAGCATCTTCTAAGAGTTGGTTGTAAAGTTCTACATCCGTCCTTCTAAGGTCTCGTGATTTGATAAGGCTTTTTTCCATGCTAATATTATAGGTTAACCACGGTGGTCAGACAGAGATGTACTCCGATACCTGCCAGTTCTGAATTTTATTCGATATTTCAGCTGTTGCTAGCTACTGTTTGGCTACGAACATCGCTTTTTTGTTCTTTTTCGTACAGATATCATAATAAAAATCGATTAAAAAAATTTATTTGCTAATTGGGACACTTTTTCTATTTTTGTTTTCAATAACTAGACTTTCTGTGGTATTTTTTATCTTAATTGAGTGTTCAGATGTACTTTATTGTTATTTATATTACTAAACACGTTTCTTTACAAAAATCTATTCGAAAAAAATGGCTGACACTCTTTTGTGATGAAAATGCCTATTCAAGTTGTTATTGACAATAACAAATGCAAGAAGAAAGTGATGTTATATATCTATACTATAGTGAATACGCTCCATATTGCTTTGATTGACATATGTACAAGTAAAAATATTAATTGGAATAACATGTTCCGCTACTTTTTGTACACAGTGTATAATAGACATAATGGTTATCTTTCGTACTGCTCATCGTGTAGATTATCAATTATTTTGTTGTAATTTTGTTAATAAGTCACTTTTTTACATGAATAATAGGTCATAGGTATTTTGAAAGAATTTTTTTTATATAATTTGTAGCTAGATTTTCTATAAAAAAATATCAACTTTTTTTTTGTTTTGATGTAATCAAATTCTGCCCTCTACCTCACATGTTAATGATAAAACTTTGTAACAAAGAAATAACGCCGACTTTTATGAATTAATTAAAGAGTTAATAGTTCTATTGTGTTTTAATTCATACCTAGAAGGCAGCCCTCGAATGTTCGAATTGAAAATTCAACAAAATACAAAATTTTGTAATATTCACTAAAGTACTTCCTAATTTTTTTCTATTGGGGTCTGTGTTCCCTAGGTGTTTGTCAACCAAGACTAAAAGGGCCACCTCTTCTTTTGGGCGTTATCATGCATAAGAGGCCCTTTTACTGTACTATCGTCAAGGCCAGAGGAACTCTTGTTTTTTAACGAAGTTGTTACTGCTCCTTCTACCATCCATTAGTTTTTTAGTAATCAAATTTTAAATACAGTTAATTAAACACTTTCTGAGATCACAGATGAGTATTTTCGAGGAAATGGTCCTTCGAGCAGGATTTTTCTGATACATATTTCTTGATCTTGTCATATCGAAGAACATATGATTTAGCCGTTGATTGATATATGGATCGTTTTATTTAGATTGTAAGTTCTGATGAGGAGATTACCTAAAAAGCGGGATCATTCAACAATAATACAACCTTAGCATAACAAAATCGTTTATTATTTAATGTCAGTTAAACTAAAAATACATCTGTACAAGTATATACATTATTATTTAAACTATATAAACCTCATAACCTCAACTAGTGTACTCCAAAAAATTATTACACTCCAAAAGTATTGGAGATTCAAGTACAGCCCAAACGCACATTTTTTAGTTCGCTAGAAGTTAAAAGAGTCGGAGGGCTGACGGAATTACTTCGATGTCAGTAGTTTAGTTTTTTCATGTTTTGATCCATACTCCAGCTAGAGTGGATCTGCAGTTTTGAATTGCAATTTGTAAGTTAATTGATTTCTACCAAGAGAAATAGTTATAGAAAGGAAATAAAGACCCAGCGTGTGGAGAATACACAAAGAAAGGCTGGCACCAGTAATAGAGTGTTATGTTTAGGGAAGTTCACAGATACCTTCTGTGAAGATCCCTGGTTGGAAAATAAAAGAAAAATAAATTAGATAAAACTTACTTCCATAAAAAATACACAAAGTGGATCAATCAAAATAAAAGGAAATAATTAGGTAAAATACAAAATGAAAAATAAAAGAAACAAAAATGGTATTACACAGAACAAGATACTTGTTGAACATCCATGTTTTACATAACTTTCAGAAGATCACAAAAACTCATTCATCAATTGGTCTAGAGTCCGTTGATTTTTATAGCAGTCAAATAATTATATTCTTATGGCAAAAATAACCAGTAATGGTTTGATTGAAGATTTTTGAGTGGAAATCCTTGAAATTCTCGGGGAAACAGCCACTTTGATATGGTCTCTAGAATGTTAATGGTTGATTAAGCATTTTTGGAAGATAAATTTGACTTTTGGGTTAAAATTCTCGGATGAACAGATATTTTAATGTCTTCTATAGATGATTGACAGTTTGATTGGAAATTTTTAGTAAAAAATATGACTTTTGGATCGAAATCCTTGTAATTCTAGACTGAACATATATTTCATCTCTTCAGACATTTGACTTTTGGGAGATTTTGGGGTGAACAGACATTTTGATGTCTTCTCTAGATTGTTCACAGTTTGATTGGGGATTTTTGTGAGATAAATTTAATTTTTGGGTCGAAATCCTTGAAATTCTCGGGAAACAGACACTTTAATGTCTTCTCTAGATTGTTCATAGTTTGATTAAGAATATATGGGAGATAAATTTGACTTTCTGGTCAGTATTCTTGAAATTCTCGAATGAAAAGATATTTTAATGTCTTCCCTAGATTGTTCACAGTTTGGAGATTTTTGGGAGATAAATTTAACTATTGGGCTGAAATCCCTGAAATTCTTGTATGAACAGACTTGTTGATGTCTTCTCGAGATTGTTCACAGTTTGATTGGAATTTTTGTGATAAATTTGACTTTTGGGTTGAAATCCAAGAAATGCTTGGGAAACAGCCACTTCCCTATTTGGTTCATAGTTTGATTAAGGATTTTTGGGAGATAAATTTGACATTTCGGATGAAATCCTTAGGTAAACAGATATTCTGATGTATTCTTTAGATTCTTCACAGTTTGATTGGAATTTTTGTGAGATAAATTTGACTTTTGGGTCGAAATCCTTGAAATTCCCGAGGAGACAGATACTTTGATGTCTCCTAGGGTGTTTTGGAGTTTATGTTCAACCATTTAGGGTCTGGAACAGTGTTGAAATTGGCAGTCAGGTTTTGTGGGAGAAATTTGAGAGTTTCAAGACATCTCTTGAAAAGTTTATGTGCTTTTATGATCTAGAAAAATTTTCTTTGTCAACAGACTTCAACTGGAATGTGCTCAATTCAATATTTATAGCATTTTTGAGTTAGGGCTTGAGGAAGGAAAAAAAGAAGTCACTGATAGTCTTTAACCTCAGTAGAACAAGGAAGGTTAGATTTGTTGGATGAATTGACCTCATAGAACGATACATGATCACAAAGGGCAGATTTTGAATAGACGAAGGCCTTTCAAAATGTCTCACATGGGAGTCTTGACAATACCAATTCGAGATTTGTCTTTGTCTGAATTGGATGTAAAATACACAGTTGATTTAACTCATATCATCAACAGGATACTGAGAACCTACAATGTACTCTTAAAATATAACAGAGGTCTATGTTTCAATGTGTATTCTACATATATATTTAATTGGTTACTTTTGTTGTAAATCATCATCTATTTAGATTCTCGGAATGTCTTTGCATTTCCATTGCTTCACAAATATTTATAGAGTAGAACTACTGATTTTTGGAAAGAATACGGGTTTTTTCTACCAATATGAAATGTCTGGTTTCTTGGCAGTGTTCTTAAGAATGAGACAGGATTATATTTAAAATCAAGTTATATGATTGAATGTATATCTTTATAACATTTTAACAATGCATTATTTAATAACAAACCAAATTAGATATGTGGTCTCCAAATTATATGTATTGGGGAAAGAGCTCTATAGAATCAAATTCAATAAAAACTTAGATCATGAGAAAACTATGTTATTCTTTTAGGAATCACTTTTACTAAATCAATATGCAATGTACTTTTGTTTACCCTGATAAATTTCTCCACAGTGCATTAATTTCTTGGAACTATTTAATAAACCTATAAACAAAATATTTCTACAAGTTAACGTGGTTTGTATGGAACAACATGGTGATCGGTATCGCCCCAATTTTTATGAACTTCGGTATTGCAGGAACTACAGTATAAATCACCACTACAGTCCATGCACCTATACTTGGCATCATTGTTGCATAGAACACACCAAGGCAATTCAGGAGAGCCGTCCTCTACTTCGTCTTCATCTTTGGATTCTCTTGAAGATGATTTGGTTTTGGAAAGTATGCTTGAGGGTAAGCGTTCATCTAAGGCTACTTCATCCATTATCTGAAATAAATAGGACTTTATAAGTCTTAAAATGTCTACAAACACTAATGTTTTTAACTATAGATAAAAAACAATATCAGATAAATATATTAAGTTGTAATTAATGACACCATACTGAAGTTGGCTTTATATGCGGTACATGTTTGCATTGTGATTGTATACTAAATACTTTAATAAAACATTCTCTAAAACTATTACACAATTATTTCTATGATTTTTCATAAAACAGTTTATAAAAGGCCAGTTTACTTATGAAATGAACAAATCCATTATCCTCCTTCCTAATATACAAGCAGAAAAATAATGGTACTAACCTTTTTTGTTACTTTATCAACTTCTTCTTCAGATCCACTGGAATCATGTAAATTCTGCATATATGGTCCCTCATTTGGCCTGACCCCTTGTTCCCTTAAAGCTGCCACTCTGGCTTCTATACCATCAAGGTTTTGATGAGACAGTTCAATATCTCGCTCATTCACAAATTGCTCCAGAAGAGAATCAGTTTTTTCTTGGTCTGTTCTTGTGTCCACAGTATACACCTGAGTTGTATTGAAAAAAAAAGAAAAATAACTAGCGTTAATATTTAGATTTCATCAAATTAGAAGATTTAAAGGTGATAAAAGTATAATTTGTATTTAAAAATCAATATTTTTCCCCTTCTGGTACTTACAGCTTTACTAGGTCCCTCTACATATTCATTTTCTCCCTTAAGATTCCTTAATCTCTCCCTAATCTCAGATTCAGTTGGCGGTGGTCCCTTTCCATCATCCTTCAGTTTCTCCAATCTTTCCAACAACTTCTGATCAGCAGCAGAGAGACCACTACGTAATGATTCCATTTTTGGATCTGCTTTTTTATATACAGTTATAGGAGGTGCAGCTGGGTTTTCTAGAGTTTCTAATCTCCTGGAAACATAAAGTTAGAACATAATAGTTGTATACAACTACTATTGCGATAGTTGTAACTTTGGAGATATGAAAATAAAACTATTGTTACTACTAACTCCTTTTTAAGGCTTCAATGACATATGAAAAGCACCTATAACTTAAATAAAATAATCTAAAAAGTTCAAGAATAACTATTCATTGTACAGTGAATTTGTTTAAATATTTGCAGGAATATTAAAGTTTGTTCTTACTTAATAAATACATCAGGTGGCGGCCTGTTAACAGTTTGAGAAGTTCCCGAGTTTATTCTCAGATAACACTTTTTACAAACATTAATTTCTTCATCGCCTTTCGAAGGTACTTTAGATTTTTGCTTGATACATTTACTACAAAAGGCTAAACCACAGCAGCCACAACCCATCTGAAATGTTTAAATCAATAGTATATCAGAGTGATAAGTTTGTAAACTTACTTCTTTGTGAAAAAAGTTGAATTTAGTATTACACTGATTGCACGACATTGTTATTTATTTGTAATTTTAAAGACCTATATTTTGTGTTAAACTATAATAAAAACATTTATTGTTAACCTGTAAATGTCATATGTGTCAAAATGCCATTATTGGTTTCAATTTACTACCAACTGTAATTTAAATCGAGATCTTGTGATTTAAAAATGAATATCTTAAGCTTTAATAATACTACACAAACTTAATTAGTAATTAAATCTGAAAGATTGCTTAACAGTTTTTATGCCATTTAATGTAGTTTTTTTTTATATAGAATTAAAAGGAATATGTTCTGTAGCCAACATTAGAAAATGTATTGTAACCAACTACCTCAGTCATTCACTGGTTTTGGTTGTGTGAGAGAGGGCTGTAACCCAAATATTTGTTGATTATTAAGATCCTCTATCATAACTATATAAGTGATTATTAATAGGTTTATTTAAAACTAGTTTGGAAATAATATCCTAATTTACTAGTTCAATATGGTAAGATATTTTTCATTTTATACTAAACACATTTTAAGTCATTTTTTTCCAGTCTGTATCACAATTTTTAGAAGGTTTACCTTCATATAATGAGAACAATTTTACCAAATTCCAAGTCGATAATAACAACAGGACGTCGTCCAAAAGACCTCCTGTTTATGTACCTACCAAGGAATTCCCTTCAGAACAAAGTTAGTATAAAATCTTTTATTGAAATAAAAAAAATTCCATTGCCTTTTATTTGTTTTTCTCTTAGGTAATCAATTAATAGATACATTTTTAGAATTCCATATTATTGTAGATATGTCTGTGTCTTGTGTTGATTGTTTATTTGTGTGATGGTGTGGTTTAATGTCAAAACTATAGGAAAATTTATGTGGCAGTAAAATTTGATTATAAAAGCATGTTCAATAATTTTTGTCAATTAGAATAAATTTAATTAATCTTAAAGGACTAATCCATGTCATTTATGAAATATATGATTCATTGTCAAATGATGTGATTAGGTTTATGAAAACAAGAAACAATTAAAATACTAAAGTTGTGATATATAGGATATAAAAAAATTAGTTATTGTTCACTTAATTAATAATCCATTTTATCTTGCTATATGGTTCAGGTAAAGTACATGAGTTGAATGAATTTGAACATTTTTTCTAATCATGTATAATTTAGATTAGAGGATGGAAATAATAATTAAATTCTTTGGTAAAAATATTTGAGTCTATTTTACACAGCAATTTATTATAACATTTTAAAAATTCTTGTACTCAATATCAACATGATTTTCTACTTGATAGATCAACAACTAATGAACAGATAAAAATCAGTAAATTAAGGTAGTGATTTATCTGAGGAACATTCAGTAACTTTGCTTTTTTTTATAAATGTCCTTTCTAACTGTCCTGAAGTCCTTAATGTCTAATGTTCTCTGGTGGCTTTAAGACAACTTTAGATTAAAAGAATTATTATCTATTACTACCCTATTGTTAATCTGTTATACCTTAATTGTTCCACCTAATCATAGGTAACAATTTTTGAGTGCTGATATGATTATACAGACATAGCCTGTATTGATACCATATAGTAGCACAAAAATTTAGTGACACAATATATCTGTAGTATGTGAAACAGTGCTCTAGCATTACACCAACAAAACACTATACATCTACATTAAATTTTAAGACAACTTTTGCAGACTAGAAATTTGTTTCAAAAGCAACTTTTATTTGTTTCACAGAAGAATTTAAAAAGTCTATATCACAGTTACTTATTACTTGGTTACATTCTTCTAACATCTTATTTATGGTTGAACAATCAGTCTTATTAGTTGAGAACAGTCGTTTGTTATCAATTCGTAGATGTATATTTGGAACATTAAATTTAATATTATTTATAAAAAAGCAATCTTTATATTTAATGTGATTTACAACATAGTAAATAAGAAGTGCTGAATGAAAATTTCTTCTATTATCCAATTGCTGAACTTTAAAACAAGTTAACATAGCATTAGAGGAAATCATGTATGGATAGATACCATAAACAAACATAAACAAACCTCAAGAATCGTTTTTGAACCTTTTCAATCAGATCAACATTGAATTCGGCTTGTGGTGCCCATATAATAGAGGCATACTCCAAGTGAGGTCTTACCAGTGCATTGTATAATGATATTAGAGTTTCAAATATTTTAAAAAAATTTGAATTATGAGGCCAAGAGTTCTGTAGCCTTTCCAATGATGATCCGATAATGTTCGTTAAATCTCAAATTTTGCTGGAACATTACTCCAAGATCTTTACAAGTGTTCTTTCTTCCAAGTACCGTGCTAGAAATTTTGTACTGGTTCTCCATGAATTGTGTTTTTCAAGTGACAGTAAAAACATTTAGAAGTGTTTAGAAACATTTTGTTATCATCGAACCATTGACTTACTGAGTTCAGATCACATTGCAGCATCTCAGAGTCCTACAGAGTTGAAATTTCTTGAAAAACCTTAAAATCATCTGCAAATAGCAGGCTTGTCGAAAACTTCACACAGTAAGGTAAATCATTAATAAATATAGCGAACAGAAGAGGACCCAAGTTGCTACCTTGTGATACACCTGATGTTGACATAAATGGCTTAGATAAACTGTTCCCCACTTTAATTTGATTTAACCTCTCAGAAAAATATTACCTTATAAACATACATACTTCTGAATCAAAACCAAATTTGCTTAGCTTTTTAATAAGTATAGAGTTATCAATCTTATCACAAGCTTTGGTACAGCCAGTAAAAATGACATCCAGCTGAGTTTTATCCAGCCGCTTTAGAGAGAAATTATGAAGAAGTTGATGAATCTAAACATGAAAAATTACTTGTTTTAGGGCCAAAAACTCCTTTATAGTTTTTTCATTATATTCCTGTGAAACAACAGTATTTAAATATAAAAATTCAACAGTTTGAATTTTATTGAATGAGTGAGAATTATATGAAATTTTAAATATTTTGATATAAAAAATATGAAATTCTACTTTTATAGCCCCTTAAAAAATATACCAGGCTTTCTTGATTAACTGGTTCGATTTTATAAAAATGCTGTTGTATGCGTGAAACATTTGGTTAATCGAATTTTCTGGACAGAGCTGGATTGCTAGAAGTATTGCCCAAAAACAAAAAAGGTGTTAGTTTTCTTTGCCCCATTGTTTTGGAGATAACTACTAATGATTTGTTACAAACTTTCGTGTCTTTTTGCCTATGTTCAACAGAGTGAATTCAGATATATTTGAATGTTTTCAATTTCATTTCCTCTTGTCTATAGTATGTGGTGACTAGACTATAAAGTGTGTTAAAGTCACCTACAACGTGTGTTAAAGTCACCTACAACAATTTTAAGATTTTTAGTAATGTTTTTTCACATTTATTTGTATGGATATTTCTTCTGAATCTTGAGATGTATCAACATAAATTGATACTTCTCCACTTGCTATTTTTTTGTTCCTATTTTGTGATTTTTTTTTTAATTGGTAAATTTTGCCCTGATTAAACTTTGTTTCGTAAGACACAACATTTTTTTCTTATCTGTAATTGTTACATTGCTGTATATGCTAAAATATACCTTGTATGTTCCAGTTGTATGACACATCTAGCTTTGTTGAAAAAATATTTGGATTAAAACATGTCAATATCAGATAGAGGCGTAATTTTTGTAAAATTATATAAGAATTTTATTTAATACAATTCCTATTAATATATTTATTCTTATTATATATCATTATTTTATTTGTTTTCAGTAATTGTCACAGAAAAGACCAGTATTTTATTGAAATATATGCAACAACATTGGGACAAAAAATATGTAAGTAGTTCTATTTTTGGTTTTATCTAATAACAGGGGAAGGGGAGAAAGAAAATGGGAAATGCTCAAGAAGCTGCAGAAGCCATTGGTTTAATAAGTTCCTTTCACTACGTTCTATCTTGTGCTAGGTTGTTCCAATCATCAACTTTTTGAAGTTTTGTCTTTTTATACTGATTTTCAGTCAGCTTGCGTTTCACTAATTTGCTAAACATTCTCAGTTCTAGCAATGTGCATATAGACATACTAAATACATACCCAAGTCATCTCAATCTCTAAACTTTCGCAACAATATTTTTATGCTGTTGTTTTTGTGCCTCTGATAATTTATTTAAAAAATAATCTTCTTTTGCTTTAGCCACTGCATAAATTAAATTAACTTTTGTTTGTATTTGGAAACTATTTATGCCTTCTATAGTGGAAATCTCGATTTGAAACAAGGTTATGTAATGTAATTGCACTATGTTGTCGAAAACGATTTTTTTATTGTTTTTATACAAAGGATATTTTAAAAAATGTCAAATGTCAAAAATGTAATTCTCCTTACAAATAATTGTGGTTTATTCCCATGTAAAATAATATATAACAAAAACATTGGTTCTTTTTTTTAATTCTAACTTATTTTGGTGTTTATAGAACTCTAAGAAAAGAGATATCAGTCCACCATCACACGAGCCCAGCAGGAAAAAAACAAGGACGGACACAACCAGGGATAATTCACGGGACTATGCAATGAGCATGAATGACTTTTGAATCTGTATTTATTATAATGTGTACATATAAACGTATTTCAAATGTAATTCCACATATTATATCATTTCATATTTGGATTTGATCGTGAACATCTTTTTGTATAGCAAACGCAGAGATGTGATCCAATTAACACAAAACTGTAGTATCTCTCTCTTTTAAAGTGCTTAAAACTGATTCGGCTTGATGGCCCAGCGGGTGGCAGACTCATTTCAACTTGAGTAATTTACTAGGTTTATAGTTCGAGAAATACGCTAACCAGAGAAAAATTTCACAATAGTCTGTCGATGGATATGTTGTACGGTGAGAGATAGGGCCTCGCAGATCGCTGACAAAGTATTATACGAAATATACATATAAAAGTGATTACGGTTGCCTAATTCACTAAATTGCAATGAATGCACTGAATATATTTCCTTTTAAATTATAAAAATACTTTCTGAATTGATTTCTTTGATAAACTGAATTATTGTTTCTACATAGAGATTCTTTCAGATCTAACTTACCTTCGGGTATTACATTTTTTATCATAGTTTATCAGTAAATCAATTATATACGAAAATAAAGCGAAGAAGATACAATTTTAAATGTGTTTAATAAGAAATATGCAATCCCTTGTTTTTTAACTTCTGGAGTGTGTTTTATAATGTAAGAGAAAACAACAATACATTTTACAAAGTATAAATTTTACTACTACTCAACTGATTGTCAATAGGACTAAAATCCGGTGAGTTTTGAGACCATTCAGGCATGGTTTGGCTGTAGTTCAGTTTACAATCTGTGATGAAGCAATTTTCTGCAGTTTTGCCAGTTTATTCAGCCTTATATCGTTCCAAGGAGTTCGGTAACTTTAAAACAAGACGAGCAGCTCTAAAAAATCTCCAACAGAAGTTTACCTGTATGATAACTATGAGCTGTTGTTGTTTTCTGTCGTCACATTCGTGTTTCTGTGTCGAAAATGGGTCTCAATTTGGATATTTATTGCCTAATCGTATCTTTTCTTGTGGCAGCTAATAATGATTGTTTTTTTCTATTCCTAAGTTGTTTTCATATAGATAGTATTGATGAAAAATAATTCCAGGGTGTGCCAAGTTTTGTTAAAGTTGTTAGCTTGTATTCCTTGGTTTAATTCAGTGTTCCTCATTAAAAACAGCCTCATCCTTTGCTGTTGTCTTTCTCTTCCTACATTTCACTTTTATATTCAATTAACTCGAAACAGTATCTTTTTGTTGTTTCAAAACCTTGATTGCACCTTCCAAATTTACACTACACACTTTGACAGTATCTCTTTGATGGGCAGATTATCTATTTTCATAAATAAATCAGTAATTTCAGCTTATTTGTATGGTTCATAACTCAGTTACTATCAAAAATTGTCACTACTTTGACATAAAAGAGTTGCCAACTGGATTCGTTGATTTTAAAGAGGCCTATGACTCAATAAAGAGAAGCCAGTTATATAACATCTTGGAAAACTTCAACACCCACTCGAAATATATCCCACTAGTAAAGGCATGGATGGACTCAACAACAGCAATGGTACATATACGGAATGAACTTACTGAAAGCTTTGAAATAGTACAAAACAAGGCGATGGAGTGGCTCCAACACTGAACATACAAAAGACAAAAACACTAACACAAACAAGAGCGTAGAGAAAAAAGAAATCCAAAAAAGAAAAATGAAGAGCAGCAGAGACTATTTTTTACCAAATGACCCCTCTAAATCCCTAAATTGGAAATCAATGATTAAAGTCCTTCATTAGATCAGTTGTGTGTTGTAAATGTATAAAATAATCTACCGCAGCATACTCCAAGTGGCGAATTCGAAGCAGTAGAGAGATATTAGAGATAGAGAGAGAGATACTAAATTAATTAAAATATGGAAAGACCGAACAATAACAAGGAAATACTAAGCTCATGTTGGTAATGCTTTTATTTTTCTCATTACTACATACGCTGCTGAAACATGGGCTTTAAAAAAAAAACGATGGAAGTGCTGCAAGCCAAACTGATCCGACTATCAGAGATTTGTTTGAAGGGGATACTCAACAATGCATCTTCCAGCAGGATGAAGCGCCCTGTCATACGACCAAGACTTCCGTGGAATGATTGAGAAACTTTGATGTTACTGTCCTACCTTGGTGTCGAAATAGAACCGATCTAAACCCAATAGAAAGTCTATGGTCAAGACTGAAAGTGTTAGTATCACGCCGAAAACAAGAGAGAAATGATGGAAGCCATTATTCAAAACTGATTTAGAGTCTGTTCTAAAGAATAAAGATTATTCTAGCAAATACTAATTTTCTTTTTAATAAGGTAAAGTGCCCAAATACCGCCCACCTAAGCAAAATCTTAAATTCTGAAATTTGATTTAGAGTTAAAATAGTGAAAAAAACTGATTTAAGTAACTTAACTCTATGTCTGAGTACGATTCTACTAAATAAAATTTCCTGAAGTAAAAATAAATAAATAACAAAATAAAGCAAATTTCGGTTCTTTAAAAATGGTATCCCAATTCAGTATTAATATCTGTTATAATAAATTTATTGAGATAGGAACATGTTTATATGCTTATGTTGATACATAAGTTCTATCTATTTACACCTCCAGACACAAATCACAAACACAATTTTCGACCTTGGTTGAAGTTGAACACATCTCATGGTACCACTTGAAGCATTCCGAACACCTTATCCATTTTTCTCCTCGCTTGTCTTGTGAAAAACGTTTTCCACAAATGGCACATGGTGCATCTTCATCGCCCGAACTATCCTCATCATCGGTTGATACCAGTGGAACTTCTATTTCGTCCTCAGAGTCACTTGAATTTAAATCCCACTTCGTTGATTTCTTCTTGGGACGTTTGTTAATTATGTGCCAAGATTTTCTTCATCTTCCATGAAAAGATGTTTCTTAGCCTTTGACTGCCTCTTCTCTTCTGCCATTTGTTTCTTTTGTAAAGAGATTTTGAGAGAAGTTTTTTGAGGAGATCCAGTTACCAAGAATGAAGTACCGGCTCTAGAAGATGTCGAAGGTTCAATAACATAAGTCCCTATCCCAAACTTCTATTTCAAAACTTTCTGTAGGCTCTTGTTATATAAACAAGTACAATAACGTTCGTGTCATTACAGAGAGATGGATCATTATACTTTGTGTGACAAAACGCTCTGCGTTTACTATAATAATAATGTATTTAGATGTCTGAAACTGAAATGGATATACAATTCAGTCGGCATCTACCTGATATTTTGTTTATAACCTAAGATTGGATAAATAGCACAAATATCATTCATTTTTGTAAATATTACCATAGCATTTTTTTACTTCTTGTACATTTAAAATCGAACTGATTAATATCATTCCAAACGATTAACAAAAAAGATGTTCTACTTCAAAATTCATGTACAGTTTCATAAGAGAAGGAAAGCAAACAGTTCATCAAAGATATCCGCAGTTATAAAAGAGACACATTCATAATTTTGGTATTTGTTCGGGGATACGTCCATTGATAATGTAATGTGCTTCCAAAAAACGTGGAGTGGTATACAAACAATTTGGAATTTTTCGGTGGTGGATATTTACATGTTTTATTCAAGTTAATAGTTATACCTATTGCGCAACTTTCTATCGCGTATAACGTCAGATTCGAGCAGTAGAGACATGTTTTTTGTTCCACTGTAAAAATTATACAGGTTAAAATATGAAATCGAAATGTAAATACTTACAAATTATACCAGAAATGTCTAATGCCATTCGCCCCTCTTGTATACTGACCAGAAGAGTAGGCCATTTTGAAATTGTGATTTTTTTGTTATTTTAAAGTTTACATTTGAAAGACAAAATTGATAATTCTATAATATGAATGCTAAATGAACCATGCAATATTGAATGCGAAAGCCTAGCTGCTTAAATCGAAGAGGAATACATTTAATTAAATGTCCACATTCTGACCGACGTTATTCTGTGCCTGCAATAGCAACTCTACCAATTCATGGACAGTTTTTGTATGTCTTTGGAAACTTCGTCTAGCTAATCGTAGAGATATTCTATAGCTCTAGGTGCTAGCTAATTCAAACTCCTAATGCTCAATTCATCATTTTTAGGTCATCCTCTTAGCGAACAGCTGCTTTTTATTTATGGAAGTATTTATGTAAATATTGTGGCTAGATTCGTCGAAGCATCAAACATGAAATGAAACGTCGGGAGAGATGCGTTCAGAAGTTTTGTCTTCTGGATCTGAGCGGCTGAAATCGTCTGAATGCACCCTATAGAAATGAGAGAGATAATTGAGAAATGATCGGTTTCTGAAATGCTACCGCGAATATCTTTCCTCTGATTGTTGTAGTTCAAATGAACCTTAAAGGCCATATACTATTGTAACTACCGAAATCTTCCAAGTTAACCACTTTGGATACATCCATAAAATAAAATATTCCCAGCTAATGACCATACTTATTAATAATCACTTGTACTTTTTTGTTACTGTTCTAATTTGTTATTTTTAATGAGTAATCTTTGGTGTACATGTTTTTGTGATAAGACATTTGTTTTTATTCTTATTACTTTATAAATACTTTGTGACAACTAACAGTATGATAAGAATAAATCTATAAAATATTTTAATTTTAGTTTTATTCTTTAATCTTTTTTATGTCATTTTCTAAAAGGTACGCAACAACTGAAATATCCAATAATTTTGATTCCTTTTCCTATACCGGTGGTTGAATTTTAACAAAATTGTTTGATGTTTTTCTTCGCGTGACTTAAAAGCATTAGAAGCAACAGAAGAGCGGCTGGAAAATCAAGATTAGACAGAGTTAGAAGCAAAAGAATTCGAAAAATTATGGGTGTTAAGCACAATATAACAGAGGACGTGAGAATAAATCAACTAAGATGGTATTGACACGTCCAAAAAGTGGATTGGCAAAGAATACCAAAGAAAGTATTGAACTGGACACCGAATGGAAGAAAAAAGCAAGGTAGCCCGAGATTAAGTTGGAGAGAAGGAATCGATAAAGACTTAAGGAGAAGGGAGTTGAAGAACTTCCTTTGTAGAGTTAATGGATTTTGGGAACAGCTATGACCTTGAAAATGCCACAAAGAATATAATTAAATCTCTTTTCTTACTCAGACTCTTAAAAGTCTTTTACAATATTTTAGAATCGAAGATAATGTAATTATATTATTAATGTATTGGATTTTGACAAGAGCTATGCATTATGCCTATTTAGTACACAAATTTATGTGAAATGTTCAAGGTCATAGCTGTTCCCAAAATCCATTCCCTCTAACGACCGAGATAAATGGAGACTGGAAATCAGAAGACGGCATAGATTGATTGATAAATTATCTATAATCACAACCTGGCAACAATTTTGTTGTTAAAACTCAATTATAATTTCTCAGAATTTAGTGTTTACAATTTTGATATTCAACTATAGTAGTTTTGTAGAAAATGTTCTTTATAAAGGTGTTTATATTCTGTACCAATAGTTGTATTACATCTAGAAATAACTTAGTTTGCTGTAAGGAGAGCCCATGCTGCCGTAAATTGGTCTAACGGGTATGTTGGCTGTATACCGTATAGGTGTGGTGTCCTGCTGTGATGGGGTGTTAATGCTCTTCTTAATTTAAGGATATCCTTAAATTTGAGTACTCCAGGTTTTGTGTATTTCATTCATTAAGGATTGGGTTTGGCCCTTTTATAGTTTTGTGCATGGTGTATTTGTGAATTGTTATGGACCCATATTCTTTTAAAGATTTGATAGATTTAAGTTCCTCTTTACTTACATTTGCTTTCGATTTTGTGCTTTTTTCTAGTTCTCTCTTGCACAGTATTTTGTGTTCTTCTTTTGCATGTGCTAGTAGTTGCTGACAGACCTTTTCAACAGCGTTAATTATAATAAAGGAATAATTATTAAAAAAAAAATAAGGACAACGTTTTCAAAATAATATTTATTGACAAAAACTATTATTTAACATTTTTCAACAACAAAAGTTTGTAAGTATGTGACTAAAGCAGAAATAAAAATTATTCAATGATACTATTACTTAAATCTTAACTAATGAGTCTCACAGATTCGGACCGTATCATTTGAGCGTGTGACTTAACATGTGATCTTTTCAGTTTGTTGACATTATAGGACCAAAATTTTGTTAAATAATATATTTTGATCCATGAACTTATGTAATAAAAGCTATTGTCGCCCTTCAACGTTTATTTTTTGTTCAAGAGTATAACTTACTGTCTACAAATGCATATTTTTGTTTATACATTTCTAATTGGCCACCCGTTAAGTCAAACTATCAAATGTAAGATCCTACTTACAACCAAATATGTATTTAATTTTCACGCCGATTAACTATGTTAAAAAATATTTACGTATAATACACACACTCCTTGCCGCTTCTCATTATTTTTACTAGCTAGGTATTTGACGGCGTATCGGGAGATCCGACAACATCGATGATTTCGCTGGTGCTAATTTTAGCTTCGACTTCACTATTTGATGACAATTGCGGAGGAATGGCCAATGTCTACAATCAAAGAAATAGTCTAGTGTTGTTATCTATGTATGGTCAGATTAATATTCCTAATTTCCGTAAATTTAGAGTGAGCTAGTCAAAACCATTAAAAAAGTCAGCCGAGAATTCTCCTGCTACAAAATTGGCGCCCAACGTGGGGCGCCAAGTTAACATATGTACGAAATTTAAAGAAATTACGAATAAAATAATTATTTTACACTGTTTATACAGTGACAAATAATATTTTAAGCTGTTTTTTAATATTTCGATTGAAAAACTTGATCTTTACATAATAATTATAAATTAACCCTAAGATAAAATACTATACTTTACCTTTCCTGGATTTAGAGCCTCGTACTGGTGTCTTAAAGACTGTAATTCGTATTCACACGTTGCTAGAGCTCCTTTGATTTCCATTAAGAGGACCATGTCGCTCCGGAGTTCATTGAAATGCTGACATATATCCTCCGATGGAGTAGGATTTAATTCTATAAAACATAATATATACATACAATAATTACATATCTACTGTAAATACAATTATGACAATTTAGTAGCGCAGCTTATAAAGAAAGCTACTGTCCGGTAAATTTCACTTGCTCTTTTAAGATTGAATGCGCATTTTTCATGTATGCTGGCTTGTTAAGAGCTATAATTTTTAAACATAACATAGCAGACTAAAAATAATAATTTCTTCTAATATAGAATAGAATTTATTTAGTCAATATACAAAAAATAGTTTTGTTTTTGACAAGTCAAAGCAATAGTGACAATTTTTACATACGTACATATAAAATTTTTGCGAATTTAAACATTACAAACAGATATTTAATATAAACAATTTAATAAACGCCATACACACTAAATAAAAATATAAAAACATGAAATATCGTCATAATAGACAAATACCCTCACCAAACTAGTACTATTGTGTAGAAATTGTATTTAGGTACTCCGTTTTTGAATAAAAACAATGTTTCAAAAAGTGTGATCTGATTTTAAGCTTAAACGAAAAGTAAAGACTTATTACTTCATTTGGCAAAAAGTTATAGAAACCAATATCAGTCGAATTTTTTATGCTCTTTGTTAACCTAAAACGTTGTGCTCTAATAGCATCTCTAGATCTTGTACAGTGATCATGGATAACAGTTTATGTTAAACAAAGTGGGTTAATATATGGAATCTTGAGGAACCCCATATTCGACAGTGTTAAACTCAGAATAGCTGTTATTAAGAAAAACTGCCTGTTTTCTATTTGTTAAGTATGATCTAAATACATTAAGATTGTTTACCCTAATACCGTATTTAAGCATTTTTTTTAGTGAATATCCTAAATATGCCTATCTTCCATTAGGTGGAATCTGGTAACGCGAGACAAAAACTCGCGAAACCGACTATAAACTTATCATACTTGGCTATTCGTATATATATACTTACCCAATCCCATATCTTGTAGAATTTGTTCGACTCCTTTGGATTTTTTCTGTCCGACATTTGCTGGCAATTTCATCCGCTGAGATCTCAAAGAGACGCCGCTGTTTTTATAATCTGGAAATTTGATGCCTGCGCTTTCTATAGCCTGCAAAATATGCTATTGAGGCAAGTTGATTACATTAGAAAGGTTTTCACATCGATTCTATTAGATATTAAAAATTAAAACATTAAATCGCAGTGTTCAAACGTTAGATGTAGGTAGGTATTAAATAAAAAGCAATGTGTATAAGGTAATATAGAAATAGAACTAATGTATCTAATAAATATAGATATACTGATTAATCGTGAAGGAAAATGATCAGTCAGAAAAATCAAATGATTACAAGAATATAATTATGACATTCAAGTATCTATAGAAAAAATCCATTCATTTGCTGATTTTGAAAGGAACATGAAGCACCAACTTTTGTATAAATACTGCTCTCCATCCTTTTCTATGCCCTGTCTTTAGCTCTTTTTCATTTACCTCTTTTCTTCTTACCCTGTGGTGTTTGTAACAGTATTGGTTTGGGTCTAAAATAATTTGTGCTCACTGTTAAGATTACAGGAACATCCTGACCACTTGATCAAAATATCAATAACAACCTTAACACATACAAGACACTCAAGAAAATGATCTGTGTTTGAAACATGTAGCTTCATGGACAACAATTACCTGTATTGTATACATAAAACTTATAGAATAGTTTTACAGTAAGCATTATTTTTAGAAAGTCAATAAAAAGGTAAAATTGAACTATATACAATAATATATTTACCAAAAGGTACAGAAGAAATCAATAAAACAACTAAATACATCATTATCATGGGAGTATCTGCTAAACACATTAATCATTGATTAGTTATAGTAGCAAACATTGAAAAATATTTGAGTTGGTATATCAGTTGCACTTCTTCTATGTGTTTATCCAAAAGCTTATAAAATGGTAATACATAAATGGATCTAATACAGAAGTTAAATACTATTACAGCCAATGACATTACCTGATACTGAAAGATGGCCTTTTGTACATAATTTTTGAAAGAAAGTTACCAGTAGTACAATTTTAAGAAAAATAAAACAAGAAACCTGATGTTGTCTCTTATTGGACAGTGAAACTTATTGAACAACTTTATAGTAAACATTCTTTTAGAAGTTCAATAAAAAGATGTCATTAACAATATCCTTGCTAAAAGTCACAGAAGAAATCAATGAAATAACTAAATACAGCATATACTTCATTATCATGATAGAGTTTGTTTAAACAGATGAAAAATCAATTATTTCTGATAGCAAATATTGAAAAACGTTTAAGCCAAAAGGTCATCAAGAACTTGATAAATCTCTCCAAACACATTTTTGTAGATATCTACTTTAGAGTATGAAGAATGTTGGTTTGAAAACACCCCAATTTTTTATCCTTGTGTAATAACTTAAATAGTTTTAGTGTATTAAAAATGTTAATAGATGCATATAATTTAAAAAAATAGGGAAGAGGCACAAGTGATGCGAAAAAATATGTATAAGAGAAACTTACATTTGTATCGACTCTGGAAGGTCTCGTTGGATTGGCAATTTTCTTCTTGGGCAGCTTCTTGTCATTCCTTCTGGGAGTATCATTCTGACTATCAGCCTGGCTGATGAGTTTCTGTAGGTCCTGAGTCTTCCTTTCCCTCTCCTTCTTGCGGGCTTCGATCTTTTTAAGTTCTCCCAGTAGAAATTGTTCTTCTTCTATCTGTTCAGGTTTCCTTTCATACAATTTCTTTAACTGTTCTTTTCTTCTTCGTTCGTGGTCCGCATCATAAGTATAAATTTTCTTTTCTCCATTCAGCTTGGATAAAATACCACAAATTTTGTAATATCTTTGTTTTAAATCTTCTACAGTCCTTTTCGGGTATTTTTCAGTATCATATCTGTCAGCCATTACAATAAATCTTAGATCGAATCTCTTTGCAAGGTCTATTAAGTGATCAGTTTCTTCTTTTGTCCAAGTATCACATTTTAAATGAGTGTTGTACTCTTGTTCTGTATACTTAACTACTTCAATTACCTAGAAAATAGTAGAAACAAAAAAAATACAGTTGCTAAAAACAAAAACCATTAAATATTATTAGTCAATTCAATGAACAGTTCAAAAATATCTACCTTATTAAACTTAGCAAACGGATATTCCTTTGGTTCATCTGATGGCCTTCTCCAGTGGTAAAAAGTCGCATTATCTGATCGACCAGGATTGGTAAAAGGCATCCATTTCCACTTCCTGGGCTTCCTCATTCCCAATTTGATTTTTGTCTGTTTATAACCATTGTTTCCAACTAAAAATTGGCGATAAATTAATATGTGTATGAGCAGACTGAACATTTATATATAAGAAATTGCTGTGATACAAAATTAGATTTAAAGTGAGGAATATGTTATGCCACTTCCTTGTTAAACCAGCTAATGCACTTTCACTGGTTTACCTAAAATTTGCCTGATTTATCATAGTTTTAGATCAAAGCTATAGAACCAAGTGCAATAAAAATTTAAGAAAAAGTCACCTACTTGTATCAGAAGAAAATAGCGGAGGAGCATCTTTATTATCATTGTACAATAATGCAAACACTTCCCGGTGCATTCCTTCTGGTCGTTTTGATACCTTGGGACCCGTAGAAGCCCTTTTCTTCAATTTATCGTTCCCTAAAAAAGTTTCTCTTGTAACCTCTGGAGTGGAGGGTCTCTCCAACTCCATAATATCTCTAACGTCTGCCATGCTGTGTGAGTTTATTCACTTATAACTACACGTTTTAACTAAATTATTTTACTGATTAAGTGATTGATTAATAATATTAGCAGTTTAGCGCTGTAAACTTAAAATCTTGTAAACCATATATTTGTTTTACAGCGCACTCCCACCTAGCAGTGCCAGTCCTACGTAAAAAGAGTAAAACTAAGATTGGCGCATCGCACAGTGTTAGGGTGCATAACTATATATTGATCACAGTACACTCCCAATTAGCTGTACCAGTCCCACGTTAAAGAGTAAAGCTACGATTGGCGCATTGCGTAGTGCCAGGGTGCGTAACTATATATATATATAGCGGTAAATTTTTGAACACAGCACATTCCCACCTAGCAGTGCCAATCGCATGTTAAAGGGTAAAACGACGATTGGCGCATTGCATAGTGCCAGGGTGCGTAACTATCAATATACATGGCAGTAAATATTGACGGCTAAGATTGTAAACTCATTTTAAAGGAAGGGAAAATCAATATTACAATCCTAAAATAAAAAAATCTTAGTCTATACGATAATAATATTTATTTAGTATATATTTTTCGTATGTTATTTGGGATTTCTTGTTATGTTGTTATATTTTTATTTTTCATTACATTAAAATGCCAAACTGGTTAAAAAAATTAAAGAATAAAATCTTTATTTATAAAAATGTTACAAGAAATGTATGTGTTACAAGAAATAATAATAATACAAGCAAAGTTTAGTATAATTTACTTATGTTGTGACAAGAACTTGTCAGTATCTAAATAATAATTGTTTTGTTATTCAAGTATCAAGTTTTATGTGATTACAAGGCTGGTCTTGGTTTTCTTACAATGATTGATTATATTTTTCCTCTTAAAACGACTAGCGCAAACATGAAAATTGTTATAAATAGTTTCTCTGTTTTCTAATTTAGGGCTCTTAGCAGCATTCACCCATTTATCAAACATATCCATATAATTTAGTGAATTCGGAAAACGATATTACTTGATATGTAGTAGTATTTTTTTCATAGTAGTATCCATGCAATCTGGAACACATCTTTTTGTTCGGTTCTTCATGTTTCCATTGTTATTCCATGTATTGTGTTTGATTCCATGATTAAACATCGTCGAAAATTGTACTTTTTTGTACTATTTATGAATTATGAAAAAACAAAACAAATAAAAATATGGAGGTAAGATGGTGTCTTTGTCTTACAGATAGCAGTGCCACCAAACGGCAGGGTGCCAAATAAAAACTTGCGTTTTGCTAGGCTATCCTTGTTACCAATCTACTGTGATTTGTTTGACATTGACAGAAATAATATGTTCAGCAATTAGATTGGGTGAATTAGATTACAAAGGGCGCAACCAAAAATTTTAAACATATTTGTATTTTAGTCGGTTAATTATATTTATTAAAAAATTAATTTACTTTACAAATAATAATAATTCAAAAGCTGATTTGAATTTTATTTAAAGTATTACAGGAAACTTTTAATGACTTTATTAATTACACCATAGATGGCGTCATTAATATTATTTTTAAATTACACATGAAAAGTCCATAAACCAGGTTCGTATTATATTTTTCTGTTCATCTCTTTTTTATTTTTTCATTCTTCAAGAACATTTTCCTATTTTAGCAAACTTATTAATCACGTTTACGACAATGACTTTGTCAAATTTTCTTAAGCTCGCTGAATAGATTATTACTATATTGATTCATTTATGTATGAATAACTTTCTGGTGTAGGTTTTAGCATGAATAAAAAAAATTGAGCATCAATTGTCATTTATTGAAAATAAACCAGTAAATTGGCATAATACACAGTAATATTTCACAAATTGAATTATAATATTATTCTAAATAAATATGGCATACATTCCATTGAACTGAAAAAAAAAATATTCTCACAAGTTTAACCATTACACTTATATATGTATATATTTCTTATAATATGAGATTAAAATCTACAAATAACTCACTCCAATTGCTTTTTGAATTGCTAAACGCTTGATACACAATCTCATTGATGAGTAGTATCAAAAAAATTACACTTTTAAGACACAGCGTGAATGTGTAAAAAATCCTTAAATATAAAACGGTGCACCAGAAAATAAAATACTCGTGTAAATGTTTTCTCTTAAACTAACATTGATATAAATCTCACAGCAACAACGGGAGTAGCGTCGATTACAACAAGCTTTACTTTTATCCCAATTTTGATTTTTGGTTTCCTCACTATGACTAATATATCCAGAAAAGATCATTTCAGCAAGAACTGTACTATTTTTATGTTTTTATCACAAGGAAATAGACAAAATCAATTTAATACATACATTTTTTAACATTATCTAATAATTCATAATAACTTTTTTAGGTTAGTTAGAAATTTTGAGGTTATACAATTAGACAAGCTTATTTATGTTTTTCACATGGCACCACATGCAGAATAATTAATATTTATTGAAGAAGATTGAAACACTAATTGAACTGTTGTTTTCGAATTGTTTTTTTTTTATTTCTCACTTATTTTTTAATGTGAAGCTCACAGTAATAATACTAAAAATTAAAGCAGCATGGCTTTCCTGCTTTATTTTTATATTCTTTTGGGGTTTTTAATAAAATAGAAGCGGCTGAACAGTCATTAGATGTTTCTGTTAGTTTTTAAGTTCTTTTATTAAGATATTAAAATTAATTTAAAAAATGGAAAGTTTTTTGGAAAGAGTTGAAAATTGGAAAGGCAGCAAAGAAATATTCAGTGGATTTTAACAAATCAAACAATTTTGATTTGTTAAAATCCACTTTGAACGATCTGATAGCATTCCTCATAGTTAAGGCACTCTGTTGTCATATTTGTTTTAGTAAAGTAACAATACTTTTGCAAAATAACGTTGCAAAATTACAGAAAATTATTATTTTTTAAATCATCTAAAGTAAAAATATAACTTTACAGACTATTTACAAATTTAACAAAAAAATCTATGTTCTGACTAGAAAAACACAAGCCTGTGCTAATTTACATTTGTAAAAAAGCAAATATTAGTATTCTATTCAATAATGTTTTTCAGTATGTTCTATAGAGTCCCTAACTGTTTTTCTGTCTGTTGCCAACGAAGCACAATTTCAAACTAAAATAGGCAAACCTCAATGTTTTAACACTATTTTTGAACAAACAAAAAATGCATGTACTATACATTAGTTAATGACAGATATGACGATTTATAGGTAAAAAAATGATCACTGATGATGATAAATATGACATATGACAGATACATGCTGAAAGAACATTATAAATGTCATTTGTCAAATACAAAACAACCAATAAATAAAAAATTGTTGATCCTTAGCATATCCTAATAGTGTGATTAAAATAAACCGATGATTAATAGAGTTTGGATATGCCAAAATATAAAATTAAACTTAGTTTCGCTGCACTTTACCCGAAGTATAAACTATCATCATCCAAATATGAGAAACAATTTGTATCAGACAGGAAGTCTAAAAAATTTTGTAAATAATTATTTTTACCAATAAATCTTGCTGATTTAAAAACTATAGCAGCAGTCTAACAAGAGTTCTTGCTGAAAATATCTCTGTGGACATAAATATATCTAGAAAAAGTGTACTAAATCTACAATTTCTATAAAATAATGTATTGCTTAGTATACATTTTTAGTCCTAAAGGCAAAAGTAAGACACATTTTAAACACTGACTTATAACCAAACGACGAGACATATATTTCCAGTTTCCAATAAAAAAATTGTTTTGAAATCTTGAAAGTTGTGCTAAAAAAACTAAGTAGTTAAATTATGTAACTATGCAACAAAAAATTTCAAAACGAATGAAATTTGACATTTGACGGATTATAGTTATCACAAATGTTTGGATGGTTGCATGGCATTGCCGTTTTGTGCTCTACGGTTACTTTGAGTGGCATAATACATGTTTCATCGTTAGATTGACTATCTGTGTGTATTTTAAGGCAAAGTACGTAAGACACGGTGCTATGTTCGTCGAAAACGATCGAGTCGTTCTTTCGACAAACAGAAAATAAATTATATTTGGTATACCTAGACCGTATTATCGTTTATGTACAAAAATATATATTCAAAAGTATCTAACTTAGGCTTAGTATTAAAGGAATGTTAAGTAAATCGAATTATAATACACATTTTTTTAACAAGTACATATATATTTTTGCATTAGATGCTATTCGTTGGAATGAACCTGACTAGACAAAAATATCTTAGTATCTATATTTTTTCGAGAACAAACTACTCTTATATACACTTAAGGTTAAAGTAGAAATAAGGCTTTCAGTATAAAATCAAAGTAACAAATAAAATAATTTTCAAGAAGGAAACCTTTACGCCAGAGGCACAAAAGACGAAGAGCCTAGTCTAACTCAGTCAAAAATAAAATTGTACTATATTTTTTTACATATAAGTAACTAAAAATTTATATATTTTCAATAAAATGTAGGGGATACCTTACATTTTTCGTTAAATGAAGGATTTTTCTGGTTTATTTACAAAAAACTCTTGTTATTTTCAAAATTATCTAAAAGTATTGCTTAAATATATACTTGCATATTTAAAAAAAAATTACAAACTTTATAGGTTAGGTGAGGTTAGATTCATTTTAAAATAAGTAGCGGGATGTTTATAGACGTAGGTACTATGTAAAAATTGTAACAATTTTCATTGAAATAATAATGTTTTTTGTAAATACACTCTTAATATTAGTTCAGTATTTCAAAACTGTTTTAAATTAGGGAATAAACACTTGAACTACTGAACTATTTGAAGAAATAAAACTGGATATTCTATAACAAAAAAAAAATGTACAGTACATCCAAACATATAGCAAGGAATGTTTATTTTAAATTATAAAAAATAGTGAGATTAACATCAATAGTAATTGATTAGAAAAAAAAAAATTCACTTAAAATATTCGAAACTGATGACCGTGTTAGTATTTTTCAGAGATCTTGGAAAATTGTAGCTAAGTAAACAATAGCATTATTAAAAATAAAATGGTGTAAGAAACTTGGGGAGGTTTTGTGCAAAAACAAATTCAAAATAAGGCAAAGGATAATTTTATACGGAATCTATCTAAAAAATATCTAAATTAGATACAGGAATAAAAATTAAAAGAGGAATATTGAGAGAAAACTGGTGTCGGAATCGATACAATAAATCTTACAAAAAAGTTAAAACAATAAGATTAAAAATAAAAATTATAACCTGCCAACTCATTCACCTTATGAATTATAGTAAAGTGTTAGCAACTGACTCATAAAACGACACCTTCATGTCCATAAATTTTTCGATCCCGTCCCTTTTGCCTATCTTTCTTTTCTTATCCACTATCGAACGTAAGGCTGCTCCAATGATCTTTAAATTATTTTAATCCTGTTTTACCAACATTCAGACTCTGCAGGTTCTTTTAATTCATCCAAAAATTATTCATTGGTAGCACAGTAGGTCCCTCTTAAATTTGAATTCGCCAAAATCCTTTGATTAAACAACTATTCTGGTATTTTTGCGAAATGCCATCTTCTTTAAGCTTCTAAACAAGGATAACAATGACAATTATGTCATCATAGAGCCACCAATTCGTCAAGTTTCTTTAGCTCAGCAGATCTATACAAAAATAGTTTAAATTGGTTTTAGGGGCTCTAAATTTTTATATAACTGTCTATGAATTAGATTTGAGTATTCTTCAGCTGAAAAATCTGCGAAAAATCCAGGAAAAATATGAGAATGTAGAATTAATGTTACGTACCTCTAATTTTGAACCTTTTATACCGAAGATTTCGAAAAGTGTCATTTCTGCGATAAAATCGATTTTCGAAAAGCGATAAAATTAATAGAAGTAATACTTATTAAAAGAATCGATAAGAAAGGGAGACAATTGGAAAAGCTCTACGACGACGAACCTACAAGACGTATCTTTCAAGGACAGAGAAACAAGTACAGGAATTACCAAGAAAGAAATATTGTATGCACTAAAGAACACCAGAAACGACAAAAGCCCGGGGCCAGATCAACTGCGATATCCATAAAATAATAGAAAATGAGTACATGGATGTCCTTTTAAAGTTCTTTACTAAACAAGGTAAAAGAAATTAAATAAGACTAACTCACAATCAGTTTAATTTAACTATTTGAACGACGGTTTCTACAATTTGCAAAACATCTTCAGGTCTGTCGATATAAAGTTAATTAAATGATGCCGGTACACTATTAATTAATGGTTGGAAGAACGTAGTTCAAACTATCCTGTAATTGTTGGGGCATGTTCTGCGTAATGAAAGATATAAAATATTTCAATTAATTATGCAAGGGAAAATCCAGGGCAAGAGAAGTGTAGGAAGGGGAAGGAGATTAGAATAAGATCAGAATAGCCATGATTATTTCCAATCTGCGTCGCGGAGATGGCACGTAAAGAAGAAGAACAATACTTGTCATGGAATGTCATTGTTAGTGCAATTAATAAAAAAATTCCAGCACGTATAAATGATACTGTGCAAAACAAGTTGTAGAAATAAAGTTTTGAAAATGTTTTTATGAAAAATAAGTAAATTCTTTAAAATTTTTGAAATATTGGTATGAAAATTGGAAGTTATCAACAAAACAATGGCGCCAAAAAAAATATGATACCATTTTTTGTTTATGTCCATTATAATTTTACAAAACCAATCTAATATAATTTGCCGATTTTCTCACGTATTTAAAAACAAATAATCTTTCAAATCCATTTCGAAACATTCAAATTTGATCTTACACTCAAAATATTCATAATTTAAAATAATTCTTTGCTGAAATTATTGATATAAATTTTTTAAATCGCTAAGAAATTGTTTAAAAAATTATTGTACACAAAATTATAAAATTTTTAAATGTTTGTGTTTTGATTAAAAAAAAATAGTATTCATTGTAATTTAAAATTTAATGTATAAATGATAATAGAAAACAAAATATTCACTTTTTCATTGTAAATAAAGTTATAAAAATAATGAAATACTATTTTAATGTAAAACAAAATCATTTATTTTTTTCTTCAACTCTAGATATGTCTTTAAAAAGAAAATCTTAAATTTCAAATTTTTGACAGTTACTTCAATGTTTAAACAAAAAATATATTAAATTATAAATATTTTGATTGTACAAACAAATTTAATAAAGAAAAAAGTACGAATTTAACAACCGCTTTAAAAAATTCAACGCATAAAGACCTCTTTAACGCATCAAAAATGTTTTTTTACGTTAGAAGTTTGTCGAAAAAAACTTTTTTGTGACAATTTATATTTTTACTCTCTAGAATTTCTTTATTAACTACACAAGCAACTTAGATAGAAAGTATAATTGTGGACATTATATCCATTTTTGTCATACTTTCCCAGACGTTCAGGATAACAGGTCCAAAAATAAAGACATGTAAAGTCGACTTCTCATTTTAAAATGTTTCCTGAATCCTGAATAACTTTTTCAGCTAGAGCACATTCAAACGAAAATAATAAACGACCTACTGGAGTCATTTCTATAAAAATATAAGGTCCAACACAATATTAAGAGATACTATCTGGGCTATTATTGGCCGTGTTGATCTAACTTAAAAAATCAAGAATAATGGAAATAACCTCATTATTTTTGTGTATTAAAGCGCATTAAAGACCAAAATTTTTAGATATTGCTGGAAATTTGGCAACGCTACAAAATTATAACGATACAAAAGCTGTTAAATGACCTATAAATCGGTTTAGTAGGAAACATTTCCCGAATTACACTAGGAACATTAAGAGAAGGGAAACGGAAGAAGTTATAAAGTATTACTATTTGTTTATAGTTATTTCTTAGCATACTATCTGCAAATTGCGAGGTAAAATGATCATTTAACAATTATTCAACTAAAGAAAACCTTTTTTATATCGAAAAAACAAGTTTTTATTCACACTAAGTGTTAAATTTGAGAATGTTTAAACAAAAACTAAAAGCAACGATCTAAATATAAAAATAATTAAAAATCTTTGTTTAAATAAGATTAATATATTAAATAAAACATTTGCTATACATTTTTACAAAAAATATAAGTAGTTTCACTGCCTTTTTACTTATTTACTAAAATGCTAATATCCAATTTTATTTTTATATACCTATAAGTACCTTAATACGAATAGATTTTTATCAATAATCATCACAAGTAATTTTCTAGTATCCCTCTACTACATCATCAACAATTTTTACATAAAAATATCAAGAAAATAACACGTTCCTACTTACAACAACCACCTCTATATACATGAACATTTCCTTCCCAATCGCAAATAAAACCTAAAGTAGAATCACTACATCAAAGTAAAATACAATTATTCTTTAGCGCCATTCTTGACTCCTAGTAGCTTGGCTGCATCGTCCGCTGAAGCGGCCAAAACCTTGTCGATAATCGAGCCCCTTAAACCGAGCAGGTTACTGATCAGATCTGCACCTTCGGCTCCGTCCGATTCGTCTGTTTTCTGCGTGAAGTTGGCTTCGCTCTTGGTATAAGACGGAGAAGAACCGTTGTTGCCTTCTTCGTCGCTCACTGTAGCGTCGTGCTCGAAGTTGACGTTGTGCTTCTTTCTGTGTCGCAGCATGCTGTGCTTTAATGTGAACCTGCGCTTGCAGATGTCACAGCTGAAGGGTCTTTCACCGGTGTGAGTGCGCATGTGTCGCCGTAAGTCCTCAGCGGACCAAAACCGTCGCATGCAGAACGCGCAGATCACTTTCCGGTTGGAGTAGTCAGGAAATTTTCCACGAATTTCCACGTCGTCATCGTCGTTAGTAGTTTGCTCCTCTTGGGGAGGATTGCCAGATTCGAGAGCATTTTTGGACATGAGTAGAGCGTACTCTGATATGTGTTTATCTCGGATATGATCAAGAGCATCTTGACGCTCAGCGAAGGAACCTTCACACAGATGACATTTGTAGGGGAGATCAGAATTTTGAACCATAGAATCGGGAAGTTTGTACACTGGTGGTTTATCCCAATCACCCTTAGGTAATTTTTCATCTTCTGAACTCCCCGCTTCGTATCCTTGAGCTTTAATATCGTCTCCCTGAGCGTTAGTGGAATGCTTACAACTGATGTGCTTCTTTAGATTGGAGTAAGTAGAGAACGTACTGCTGGGACAGTTCGAACATTTAAACGGTCGCTCAGGAACATTTCTCATTAAGTAGTTGGTATTGTTCGATGTATCATTTGGGATAGTTGTAGCAGCGTTGCCGTGCTTTCTTAACAAATGACGATCACAATTCGATTTGGTGGTAAATAATAAAGGGCAATGGCTGCACTTAAATGGTTTTTGACCTGTGTGGGTGAGAATGTGACGACGTAGAGAGGAACTCCAGGGGAACTTTCGACTACAGTACGGACAGCTCACACGATTCGGTGCCAGTGAATAGGCTGATTTCTTCTTGACTGGCTGAACCACTTCAGATTCAGATCTGTAATAAAAACACCGAAATTAGTATAAAATACTTGAAAAATATATAAAAGGAGTAGGAATAGGGATTATTGGTTATTAATATTTCAAGCTAAATTACTAGCAACATATTTTAATGCTCAAAATTGCTTAAAAACACGTCTGAAATTAATTATTGTATTTATTGCCTCGGCGAAGCCTACAACTTATGAGTCTATAACAGCTTGGAACTACAAACAGTCCTTGTTTGACTATATTTTCGAACTACCTCTAGGTTCTTGATATATTCTGTACAGTCCGAACTTGAGTCACATTCTGCATACATAATTGTCAATGTGGTTGCCGGCAGTCTTTTAGCGTCATAGCGCATGTTTAAGCTATTAGGGCGATTTTTAATTTCGATAGCTTTACGAATAATTTTCGGTTTTAAGAAGTGCGGATAGAAGCGATGGTTTTTGCTTTTTCGAAATCTATTTTGTGGCTTGTCTGAATATAATGTTGGGCTGGAGCTAAATTAGTATCGGAATGTTTTACAGACATAGAATGTTCGTAAATACGGTTCTGAATTCCTCGGTTTGTCTGTCCTATGTATGTAGATCTGACGAGATTGGACAACTTGGAGTGAATAGTGAAGATGGTTTTGATGTTTTCTGTGTGAGTTTATTTCAAATAATTCTACTAATCTTGACAGTAACACCTTTGATAAAAATTTTGGGTTGATTAGGTGGCAAGGTTTTTTTTTTAGATGGAATGGGGTTTATATATTTTTGAACGCCCCTATTGATTTGGCTACGGGAGAGAGTGGGATTCCATTGAAACCCATTGATTTGACGATAGAAATGATTTTGGAATGAAAAGTGTTTGTATTAGACATGTAGTGTTTTATAAGAGAGAATGTGTCTTGGAGGATTTGATGTTTAGAGTCCAAGATGGAAATGGTTTCATCAATAGGAATATTGGTGAATAAAAAAAAGCAATGTCAAAACTAACTTAGTATATCTGAATGTAAAATAGAAATATGTTTCAGAAGATCAATGAAATGGAATCACAGTGCATGAAATCATAGTGAAATCAATAAAAATAAAAATAAAAAAGTTTGTAACTTACTTGTTTTCATCTGTTCCTGAGATGTTTCCTTCGCTGGTGCTACCGCTGGCAACAAGCCCTTCTTCGTCTTCTTCGCTAGCTAATCCAACCTCTTGTTCATCTCCATCTCTCTTAAAGAATTCCTTGAACTGCTGCTGGGAAGCATTATCAAGAAGTCGGGACACAGGTACAAGATCTGGACTCTCTTCAACTTTGATAGGCTTATGGAGGCTTTCGTCGTCTTCATGGCCGTTCTCTTCTATCTTCGCATCTGGCTTTTCGTCGTTTTCGTCAATAACAAGAGCACAATCTTCGTCTTCTTCTTTTTTATACTCAGTTCTGTTTAGTTGTTGAGACAAAAGAGAGAATTTGAGCTTATCGCTAATCAATTCTTTGGTATCTTCGTATTTTTGGTATTTGTTGAAGTCGTAGTTCGGTATGGTTATGTCGCAATAGTTGGGCTTAATGCCCATATGTGGTTTTTTACCAGGATTGCCAACTGCGTTTCTTTGGCGTTGGGACCAGTACTGTGGGTGTTGCTGCTTGATGTGCCTCTCCATATTTGATCTTAACGTGAATCTAGCTGAGCAGTGTTCACAAGTAAACGGTCTCTCAGTTCTGTACCTTCTTTGCTTTTGCTTTGGCATTAAGACTCCATTTTTGATAACCATTTTAACAGCATTCGGAGAGTGCATTAGGTCTGGTTTATTCGATGGAATAGGACTTTGTAGTTTGGTTAAATTATCGTGAAAGTTTGGATCGATATTAAGACTTAACGGTTCTTCTGGCTTCTTTGGAGTAGAATAGTTGTTTTCCAGAGCTACTTCTGGCTTGGACTCCATTCTAAAGCCATTAGGATATGGTGGAGAGGGATGAAAAGGTCTTTGTAAAGGTAAATTTTTCATTTCTTCGGATATCATGGAACCTCCACAAAGTTGAAATCTTTGCATTCTTTCTTTAAACTCTTGAGTATTTTGGGAAAGAGTTGGATGGACTGCTGAGAAAAACAGAGGGTTTATTGGAAGCCCTGGCCAACTTGGAAGAGAGAAATTTCTGCCATAAAGTTGTGCCAGTTGTGTTGCATATAAAGTAGCTGGATCTATTTTTGGAGGAGATTTTAGTAATTGTTGGGCAAAGATTTGGTTCATATTCAAAGGTAACTGTTGTTGTATTGGAGGAGTCGCTTTTTTGGTCAGGTCTTGTGGTTCGTCGTCGTCGTTCTTTGGCATGACTTCTGGAGATTTTTTCTTACTTAAATCTAAGACCAGATCTAATGGTTGTTCCTCTTCCTCTTCTTCGATGTAGTCGTCATCAGATTCGTTGTCGTAGCTATTGATTTTCAACGCACTAATATCTTTAACTTGGATTTTATTTTGGAAGGTGGGTGTGTACGGCGGCATGAAAGGAACATCATTTGGAACTTTGAGAGGTCTAGGAATGTCAGGTCGCAAAATATTGATGTCGTTAAGACTTTGGAATGGTTTTGAAGGTTTTAGCGCTTGTAGATCTGGAAACATGGGAGGAATTTCAGGTTTTAACTTAGGACTGTGATTTAGTACGTCTGAAAATTTCATCGAATATGACATCTTCTCTTCGGTGGGAGTATTCAGTTTCTTATCATCTTTTGAAATCAGTTTATTTAATTCGTCATTTGTTGGATCCTCAGAAGGATGATATATTATAGATTTCTTTACTTCTTCTCTGGTTGATTTCAGATGTCTGTTGCGCAAATGGCGTTCACAGTTGGCCTTAGTGGTAAAAGCATAGTTGCAAATAGAACACTCGTAAGGTCTATCTCCGTTGTGCGTACGCATATGTCTAGTGAGAGCATTCTTATCAATGGAAGAGTATGGACACATGTTGCAGTAGTAAGTTCCGTTGGAACTTCCTACTAAATGCTTTCGATTGTGACCTTTCAGAGCTCTTAGATTCGGGAAAACCTCCGGACACAACCTACAAGGAAACTCTCCCCTCAATTTCATCTTTCTAAACTCTACGGCAAAGAGGTCTTGAGATTCTTCTTCTTCGTTTTTCTGGTAATCATTTGAGTTTTCTAGAATATCTTTAGGAGTTTGTGGATGTAAGTCCGCCTGACTGGTCTGAAGCTTTTTTAAGTTAATATTAGATAATATAGACTGAATATCAGCCAGATCTTTGGTGTTATCAACTCCTCTGTCTAAATGCTCTTTCAGTTTGTTAAAAGCTAAAGCTGTCACGCTTGGTTTTTCTGGAGAATTGTCAACGAGGTTCAGTCTATTGAAGAACTCCATTCTTCTTATATCGGGTTGAGAAACGTTTATGTTTGGAGTTTGGAGAGATACTGGAGAATTGCAGCTGGATTCGTGGATGTTAAGTGAATTTGAACACGGAAAAGCTCTGTTGCAGTGCTTGCATTGGAATTTTAAGCCACTGGAAGGTTTGTGTAAGTTCATTTCGCATTCTCTTCGGGCAATGTCTGGAAATTTATTGCTTGAGAAATCTACGAATGTAAGATCTTTAAAACCAATAACCGGTTGTTTGGTTGTAGCATTTTCGTGAACTGCTTCTTTATGTGCATTCAAAAGTTTGCTGTTAGGGAAAGGTTCTTCACAAATATGACATTTAGTAGGATAATCAGGATGATTATCTTCCAAATGCGCTTCGAGATTAATGGGTGAGTTAAAATCGCTTCTCTCACATACTGGACACTGGAATGTATCTATATCTAATTGTAGCTTTGGTTTTTTGTCGCACGTATCAATGCTCTCGTTCTTCCGTTTGTTCTTCTCAACTTTGTTGTTGTTAAACTCGGTACTTTTGGAACTGCCACTGTCAACGCTACCGTCGGACTCGTAGCTGCTTTCATTTCGTTGCGAGTGAGTCCTCATGTGCCTGTGCATGTTGCCATTCGTTGTGAAAGTATCTCCGCAGTATTTACAATGGAACGGCCGTTCTCCGCTATGAACTAGTACGTGTCTGTCGAGACTGCTGTTGGAACTGAGTACTTTGGAACAGATTCTGCAAGTATATCCCTTTTCTATATCCTGTACTTCGTTTTCGTTATTGTGAGATCTAATGTGGAGCGTAAATTGGTGTTGCGACGTCAGCATCTTTTCGCAGATAGGGCAAAAGTACTTGCGTTCGGGCGATGAGCAGTCGCTTCGGTTGTCGCCGCTGTCGAAGGCTTTCGAATTGTCCGTGGGTTCGATGGTGGTGTTCGTTGTGGACGAGAATATTCCGGAATCGCTTTTGTTGGCTGCTTCTTTGGTTATATCATTTGGTGACGCAGGTGTTTCCATATCTGAAACTAAAAAAATTAACATGTAACAAACATTCGTGTAGAAATACTAAGAGTATATATAGATATACATCACGAATTGTATCAATTTTTACTCACATAACCTAAAATCATGAAATTAAGTCCCTTATTCGTTTGCAATAAAATACATTCAACAAAGATTTCGATATTATAAAGGTTGGAAATTAGAATCGGGAATGATTCATCAGGAAACTAGTAATAAGAAGAAATACAATAAATCGTAGATTTCAGTACGATTTACGTTATATTTCCGTTTTCCTGAAACCATCAAGAAAAGGAAAACGGCGTATCTAGGTCACATCATGCGAAATGAAAAATACCAGTTCCTCCAACTTATAATCGAGGGTAAAATTGAAGGCAAGAGAGGAATGGGACGCAAGAAAATGTCCTGGCTCCGAAACATAAGGCAATAAACAGGGATTAACGACATACAATCTTTGATACATATTGCAAGAAATAGAGAATTAATGGAAAATGTGATCGCTAACATCCATTAGTGGATTTGCATCTGAAGAAGAAGAAGAACGTTATATAAAAATATAAATATATACCACAATAAATCAATATTACCATTTTAAAAATACCAATTTTATCTTCTAGCGAAAGGAAAAACCTAATTATTATATTTTTATCAAACTACTTGAATATGCACTTTTCGCATAACACATCACATTATCTTGGCAAAATATACCTTCAAAACAACAATGGCATTTTTTTCCATTGAACAGATAATTCCGAAATTACAAGAAATTAAGGGAAAGCGATAAGACAAGTCTACAACAAAAATATCGCTTAATGATGTAGAAGCAAATGAGAAAGGTAATAATTTTTACATAAACTTTTATAATTCAAGGTGAACGTGATAAACAGCTAATAAGGTAGAGTTAAGAACATTTTCATAAGATACATTAAATGGTGGGATTAGCATAATAATTCAAAATATGTTTGTGTGGGAGTTCAAGTAAAAATTAATGTTTTTGAAAGTTATAATTAAAAAAAAAATTAGTTAAGATAATTAGTTTTAGTGAAAAACTGCACAAATTGGAAGGAAGGATTTTTTTGTTGTATGTACAAAAATTTTAGATAATATTTTGAAACATGTCACAACAAATGATTACCAAAAAATGTCAATAATGGATCTCTCTAAAAATACATTTTATCTAGATATTCTAACCATATAATACCTCAGCGTTTTAATAACCGTTCTGTGGTATTTACAGCTAATTTCTACTTACGTCTTATAGATAATGACGTACAAATATATCTCGATGACAGACACAAAGAAATCCTAAAATATAAGTTGTTTACCACGAAAAATGTTAAATTTCGCCGAGGAATTTCTGGTCGCCACCTCATAATTTATCTCTGATTTGTATATTTGGTATTCTGAAATGCTAAACACCCACAACATTCACTGAATGATTGGTATTCAGATTTATTTATCAATATATTAAAAAAAATGGAGATAAAACGAGGCCATGGGAAGAACCTCGGTATGTCTTTACGACCGTTTAATTTGGAGTTGTGTGTTTTATTCATTTTAATTATTTATTTTTTATATTAGTGGATATTTTTATGCTCTTAAACCTTTAGAATGTACGTAAGGATGATTAGGGTTATAATTCTTGCTAAGCGATAAGGACCAACTTGCTTAATAATACTTTTAGATAATTCATAATTGTGTTTTGGTATACGTTTTCAAGCAACTTATCTGTTTGTCAAATATATTGTTTACACTTCACCTATTGATGAAACATGATGAAGAAACACATGCACTTGTAAGAAAAATAGTAAATGATCACTGGGAACACTTTTCAAAAGAAATGGAACATGATTTTTACAGGCTGCAAAAGGAAATATGGAAAATTTATAAATAATTTCAAAACTTGAGGCAAAAATTCTTCGTCAGAACTGGTATATGGCATAATGTTGGGGATTATTGGCTGTGCCATAACACTGTGCGATCAAGAATTGTCAAACAGACTGTACGTATTAATTGGGTGTTCCACATACCTCGGAAATTGTTTTGGAAGCTAAAAGCTAATGATTTGTAATTACATCTTATCCTATATATAGGTACACACAATATTCTTATTTTTGATCACTTGGCCACGCCTCGCTCAGCGCTATCTCCGATCGAGTCCATCATTGTCCATACTTTTGCGTAAGACCTTTTTGAATAACAATAGTAATCGGGTCAAGTAAACGAATACGTCGTCGAATGTTTGTATGTGTTTTGTTTATTAATCTGTTCGACAGAATGTTATTCGGTCCGTTATGGGATGACCAGAGACATACATGAGACGACTTTTCGTTTTATCGATGAGCACCGAACGTAGGTCGAGGGGGACATCGGGTTTAAGAAAATGCTTAGAGAGAATAATATGTAATAATACGACAACGAAGAGAAAAATAAAGGGTGGAAAGAAAATAAACCTGACAGATTTTCAAAATTATATTGTCACCAAAGAGGAAATTATCAGCAGCAGTAGCTACAGTAGAAGCGTATAAAAATCTGATGTCATAATAATTGACATTTTGATTAATGACTGGAATGACCCTTAGACCGCGATGGATGAAATGAAAAAAGCCGACTGAGTGTTGGGTGAAATATTCCAATGAAACTGACAGAAAAATTCTATAAAAGCTCTGAAAGATGGGTTATAGTCTAGTGAATGTTGGACTGCTAAAAAGAAAGAGGAACAACGAATGGAAGTGAAGTTCCTTGAAGAACTAGGAGAGGAAGATCAAAGAAGACCTGGGAGAAGACGCTAGGCAGAACATGTCTGCAAAGGGGATTGCTATTAATATGACTCAAGATACCAATTTCTGGAGAAATGTAATTAAGGAAGCTGACTCCGCAAAAGAAAGGCATATTGATGATTTACAGGAGAAGTTTATGTCGTAGCAGGACAACCAAAAAATAAATTGGAAATCTTTTTAAAATTTTGTACGATTCAGCTTCGGAATATTCTTGATTTAATTTGATTATGTCTTGATTACCTCTTAAATATCAGTATTTTATCTCAATACATTCCTATAATTACACTCATTGTTATTATTATGTTTACGTGACCCATTTGCCCTTTTGTTTGTGTAAACTACTTGTAATATTTACATAATTAAAAATCTACTGATTTTGATCAGATTTTTCCATTATGCTTTACACCAATTAGAACTAGTGTCAGACGTGCATACCTACTTATTTTTATTTAAAAATGTATTATATGCACATAAAAAAGCATTATCTACCAGATAGATTTGTTTCTAGATACATCTATTACCATTCAATGGTCGATGGGGACTGACTTAGCAGAATGATGTAGCAGGATTGTTTATATTGTGTAGAACAGAGAATTTATTGTAGAAAATTAATGGGTTTGGTGAGTCATCAACAAACGGAACTACGGGAATATTGTCATTCGATTTTAAGATCATTACTTGATCATCGCTTACTTGGTAAAGTCATGGAGTTTAACAGCATCTGTTAAACTCCATGACTTTACCGATAAATATAGAATTGAACGAGGAATTAGACAGGGCGACACCATCTCTCCCAACTATTCACTGCAGCTCTGGAATATGCCTTTAAAAAACTAGATTGGACTAAAAGGGGAATAAATATTGATGGTGAATACTTAAGCCACTTGCGCTTTGCAGATGATATTGTCATTATAGCCGAGAGTTTAAATGAAGCTCACAAAATGATGGAAGAACTAAAACAGGCAATAGAACAAATAGGCCTGAACATAAACTTTAAAAAAACAAAATACATGACCAATTTAGTTCCAAGTGATGTTATGAGGGTAGATGGGAACGAAGTACATCAGGTCTTTAGCTATATCTATTTAGGGCATGAAATTAGAATATGAAAAGGCAATCATACTTGTGAGATGCAGCGTCGCATAGGCTTGGGATGGGCAGCATTTGGCAAGATGCGAGATTTTAAAAGGAACGCTACCGATTTGCTTGAAGAAAAAGGTTTACAACCAATGCATACTGCCAGTAATAACATATGGTTCCGAAACAATAACTTTAACCAAACATTCTGCAAATAAATTGAGAGTAACCCAAAGAAAAATGGAAAGAGCAATGTTGGGAATAATTAGAAGAGATATGGTACCAAATAGGATAGTAAGAGAGAGGACTAAAGTGACAGATGTCATAGAAAAAATTTCACAAACCAAATGGAGATGGGCTGGACATATAGCACGTTTAAATGATAATAGGTGGACCAAGACTCATAGAATGGAGACCTAGAGAAGACAAAAGACACCGAGGCAGACCACCATAAAGATGGATGGACGACTTGAGAAAAACAGTCGGAAATTGGATACAGAAGGCGCAAGATAGAGAACAGTGGAAGAACATGGAGGTCTATATCCAACAGTGGATGGAAGAGGTTGAGGAATGATGATGATGATGATTTGATCATATCGGGAGTAAGATGAATTTCCTATTGGCTTGTAATATCTCATTTCCACTTTAGACGTGGTCCTTTAAAGAGAGACAAATTTCCTACCTTGGTCAAAATCTTAGGGAATGAACTACATTTTCAAACTAATTTTGCAAGAAAAGGTACAGAGGCATTGTACATTACTGGCTAAGAAAATTAGGGATTGGTGTAGCATAACTAGAATATCTCGAAGAGTAAAAACCAGCCCTCTAAAAATGATTTGAAGAGTACAGATAACCACCAACCTGCAGCCAAGCACAAGGCACAAGAAAAATATATTTACCTCCACTCATAACGTGTTCATACTTTTCTATATTTGGCATTTATCAAATTTATTTCGAATGCTTTTACCTTATTCATTGTGTATCTAAAGTATACAGTAGGATAGAATATATGTAACATTTTATCATGGCGTTGATTCATATTCTTCACTAATCTTGTATTACCTTTGTTAATCATCTTTGTAAGCCACTTCTAGTTTCTGCGATGATGGTGGTGTTTGCATATCAGATATTTATAATTGGAATTTAAT